AATGTGGCTGATGGTTTATCCTTATGATAAGTTAGTAATTTCGGTACGGAATTCCGGGAATTGAGTCGAGACGGAATTGCTGGGAATTGGAACGAATTCCTTCCGATTCCGGAATTCCTTCCAGTTCCGGAATTCCTTGTAATTTCGGGAATTCCTTCCAATTCCCACTAATTCCGTCTCCACTCAGGGTGTGAGTGTGGGTGTGGGTGTGGGTGTGGGTGTGGGTGTGGGNACACAACGGAAAGTGGAGAATCGTTTTGTGAAAGACATCAAACACGGCATTATCAAGTATGTCTGTATGTCACATTAATCATTTTTTTGGTCTATGCATTTGTTATTGATTTTAGAATGCATTAACATTAGGTATTATTTTATTTGAAATTCCATCATTAGTTATTGGTCCATTAATCGATCGATTTGGATGTCGATTTGTTAAATTAATTGCAATGTAAGTGTTATCCATCTCTCTTGTTTTGTTATATTCTATTTTCTTTAGAATTTTTCATATTATCGGATGGCTAGCATTAGCGCTAGTTTCACCTGGTAAGTGTGTACATGTTCGTAGAAGTATTTCTGTGCTTTTTTTTTCTAGGACGAGATTCACTGCTATATGTTCACACAGCCTTTTCGTCCTTGGCTGGTATTATGGTATTATTAACAGCTTATTCATCAAGTGGTTATTTTACAAAATCAAGAGCATTTGTATCGGCCTTGTTTGCTGGAGCGTGTACATCAGCTACCATGTGGTATTCAATATTTCAAGTATGTCCCAACTTCTTTTCTTCCAAGAGAAGAAAACTGGATTTGATTCAATAATTTTTTTGTATTCACTTGTTCTAGGTTTTAATTGATGCAGGGAAGATCTCGTTACAACAACTATCTTACATATGGTTGTCATTTGGTATATTAATGTTAATCAGTTCATTTCTATATCTTGATTGGAGATTCTCTATTTTAAATTTACCTTATCAATTTGATACGAAATTAGAAGAGAAAAATGTATCTTCAGTTAGTGTTACAAGTAAACCAATTAGTGAAATAGATAAAATAAAATGGTATACACGAATTTTGAAACGAAAAGGTGTTTGGTATCATTTAACAAGTCCATTATATATATTGGTGGTTTTTTTTTTAAGTATTCTATTACTACCAGGAATATTTCTTTCTGTGACATGGTTCCCATGGGTGTATTATATCACAAAACAAGACACAATATTGAGTAAGTTATCAATTCTTCTACTATATGATCATCTAATATCTGACGTTTATTTTCTTTTAGCTAATAAATATACATTTGCATTTAACTTATCAACCATAGCTGCTATTATTATTTGTCCATTGAACGGTTTTCTACTTGGATTCAAAGCTGATAGAAGTAAAATATCAATTTTTTTCTGTAAAATTAAAACTTTGATTGTTTTTATGTTCAGGTAAAAAACAAAAATTATTTAATATTTCATTAATGCAAACTATATCATGGCTTCTCAATATTGTTGCATGTATTGTATGTATGTTTGTTCAAACGAGTATGATTATTCCAGCATTAGTAATTAATTGTATTGGACGAGCAACAATTGTAGGTGGAAGTCAAGCAGTAGTAGCAACCTTGTAAGTAGTTGTCATTATCAAAAATAAGTTCTTAAATTTCTTTACCTCTATTTCAGCTTTCCATCTGAATATATTGGTACATTAACTGGCGTAATGTGGACATTAGTTGGTGTTATTGCTACTATTCAATATGGTTTAATTCAATTAACGAATGATATAACTCGTTCATGGAGAGTAAGTCGTTATTATGTGCTTTATCAGTATTTTAGAAAAAGGTTTCTTTTATTTTCAGGCGTGGCTGATTGTATTATTACTTGTGTTATTAATGTCATGTCATCTAATTCAATTATGGTGGAAATACGTGAAAGAATTGAGAAATAAATCGACGACAACGATCAAAGATAAGATTATAACAAAATTTTGAAAAGACAAAGCTATTTGTTTTTTATTTGAGTTGATAGTGAATTTTTTTTGTTTTTCAATAAAATTGAAGTTTCAGTTGTTTTATTTCAATTAATACATTTTATATTCTTTGTCAAAGAAGAATGGGTGTGGGTGGAGTGTGGGCGTGGGTGGGTGTGAGTGCGGGTGAAAAGAAGATCCACAACTACACACCAACACCCACACCCACATCCACACCCCAAAACAATTGAGTTGCATAGAAAAAAGTACAACATTATATCCGGCGCTATCATCAAAGCAAAGTTTTGAAGTACACTGACGATGATACCGATCATGCAATGAGAGTTGATAGTTAAAACTAACAGATTTTCAAAGCAAATAAACAATACCAAATAGATAGTTTGTATTTGATGAAAAATGTCCTCTAATAAATGATCAAATAATGATTTGTTTCAAGGTGCATTCAGAAAAGAAGTAACAAATTTAGAATGTCTTTGTTCAAGCGTATCTATCTGATTCTCTTTCGAATGCATATAAATTCCTAAGTGTTAAATGGAAACAAATTAAGAAAAACAACGAACTGATTCAGCAAAACATTGAAAAATATTCTACGAAACAAAAAATTAATTTAGCGAAGAAAATATTATTAGTTTGGATAAAGCAATCAAATGTTAATTTATCTACAAATTCTAATGATATTATTCTTGATGAATATATATCTTCTACAACATCAACTGATAATAGACCAGCAACGAACATTTTATGGTTTTAATGAGACCAATAGACGTATGACATTACTCTTTCAACTTAAGCAGACAAATTTATTAACAACTGAAAATGAAAAACAGATCAAGTTAAACATTTTTAAAATTGTGTTCATGGTCAAAAACGAATAAAACGAAAAGAGACAAGTTCGATTAGATTTTATTCATGCAAAATCTCAAGCCACATTTTGAAAGATTCATTTTGCATCGCGACGATACTTCAATATTTTTTCTGTGCAAACTAATCTGAATGAGACAAACATGAATTAGTTTTTTGGTTAAAAAAAACCTTGACATTAGCCTTGAATTTGAAAGGTCTTGGAAAATGAAATATTTCAATCAAAACTGAACAAACATTTAAATAGAGATGCTATTTTCTAACATCGCTAAAGCAAAAGCTCCGAATTGAACGAAAATGGAATGGATTTTTCTCTGGTTGCATTATTGATAAATATAAGAGTCATTGGTATCATTGGAAAAAGATCTAATGTATCATCGTTTAGAAATAAGTCTCTATCAATAAATTCGAAATTGTCTATACAGAATATGGCTTTCTTTCGATTCGTGTTCTTGTATTGATTTCGGCAGGTGCGAGTTCAACAAGCAACTCGAGTTTTCGAAAGCCTTTCAAATTATTGCGCTTTCTTAAGTCAAAAAAAAACTGTATTGGAATATGGGTGTTGGTGTAATTTGTGGATGTGGTATGATTATTCCCTTCTCTCATTCATACCAACATCCACATCCTCTCACATATACACTAACACTTTCACACTCAAACGGACCATTTACAAGAGATAATAGTCAACTATTATAAGGAAGAATATGGAAGACAATGCCTGTATGGATTTCATTTTAGTGTATACCTTACGAGAAATAGGAAACCGAAGAATGATTTTTGCTTAGTCTTTAGGGTGTAAGTATGGATAATAGGAGTAGATATGGGTATGAGTTAAGAAAAAAAAACCATACTCACAGCCGCAACAGCATGCATTCACCCACACCGGCACCCACCCCGCATCCCTGAGTCTGCACATGATGAGTTGTAGTCTTATGTAGAGGTCGAATCTGGACTAGTCTAAATTGAAATATGTAAAGATGACAGTTTGATTCGAACCATAGTTCAAAACCGAATCGAGCTCGAATACAGATGCTGTCGAATTGAGATTTCTTTTATTCGTTTCTGTCTCTAATTCCAACTTATATATGATGTATCACTCATGAATGGTTCAGATCATTGAGTCATATGAGCAAGAGATTAACTTCTAGATGTTTATAATCATTCTAAGAAGTTCTCATATGAATAAAAAACATATTTTTTTTTACAGAAATACAAAAATATTTAGACACAACGAGCAAAATAAATTCAACAACTTTTTATTTTTTGATTTGAGAAATATCTTGTGATTATAGTCCATTAGAAGTAATTGTTACTTCCATTGAAAAAAAATTATTTAAACTAAAAAAAAACAAATAGTTTTGATATCATGATTCTATTTAACCTTAGATTTCAATTGGAATTCTAAGTGGGATGTGAATATGGACAATGGTGAAAAAAAGTTTCATGCCCACACCCTATATTTACTTGAGACTATCTATTAAAATAGTTTCCCTTTGCAAACTAACCTAATTTTATGGTGAACATCACAAAATAAGGAAACTAGCAGGATGATACATAATCAATTGCAAAAATCAGAGCACATCTGTGGAATTAGTGTAATCATGCATGATTTAAATTACATAAATCATCTGGAAAGCGATTACACTTGGTAGAATTGATGCTGCAAGCATGTGCGAAAGTAGTGAAGCGAAGTATCTATTAGGTTCAAGATAGCATGAAATACATAGGGATCAGATTTTCTTTGGATCGTTTGTACTTCGTACCCTATTTTGTTGACAAAAAACATCGAAGTGTATCAAGAGAAATAGGAAATCTCGACTTCAGCTTGGAATTTACGCTCACTCATCTATAGTGAGTTCTATTGAAAAGGATGCGTATGTAAACCGTTATGTTAATTATTAAATTTATTCATAGAAAGAAAACAATCGGGCATGAATAAAAACCGAACATATTAATAAAAAAAAAAAGAAGTAAACTTCAAATAAGCATATGCAATGAGTTAAACCAATTAATTATGAATTCTATATAAAGAAAGATATCTCATTATTTTTCATAGGAATATAATTATTACAGAGTAGTGCATGCTGAGAGTGACATAGCTGCTATGCTTCTCAATGAAAATATATGAAGAAAAACAAAATGAAGAGAAAAGAAAATACAATCAAGAATTACAATTGATGTTTGATATCATTGATTAAGGTTTCAAATTTTTCTGCGTCACCCAGTAATTCAATTAAACGTTTTCTTCCTTTATTTACCATAAATAACCACATGGTTTTGAAGGCGCTATACTTAGTTTCCAAGATAATTATGACAATGGCAGTTGTTAGAATAGTCGAATCGTTACTGAGAATCGAATGAAAAGATGTTAGTGACTTCTGAGAAAGATTTTGAATATCATCATTGCTTAAATTCCAAAGTCCATCAAATTTTTGTAAATTGATCAAGTGACGAACAATATCTTGATCATTGGATGGCCATGTTTTTTGTTCAGTCATTGAAGATGAAGATAAAGGACTTACTCCTCTAATGTGTGGAGCTAGAGAAGAGACGCTAACGTAGTTGTTAGTTAGTAATGGACTATATGATGAAGTAGAACCAAATAATGATGATTGTTGTGGAGATGCACCACAAACAAATGTTGGTGTTGATGGTTGCTGCTGCTGCTTCTGCTTCTGCTGCTGCTGTTGATCATGATGTACGGAAGACGATTGAGCATATCGTCGTTTATTGTGAGATGCAGAAGAATAAAATGTTGGTGGTGGCTGTTGTGTAGCTGAGAAGGATGATTGAAAAGGTTGTTGATAATTGGAATGTGCACTAAAAGAAAATCCTGGTGTCGACTGTTGTGATAATGTACTAGAACAGCTGTAAGACATTGGTTGTTGTTGACAAAAAAACATTGAACTATTATAGATTAAGTTAGAATTTAATGAAGATCCGAATCCACCAAGTACAGGTGGTAATCCGGCCATGACTTTATCATCCGCTGATATTTCGATTGGAATTTCTCTTAATACCATGTTGGAATTGGCATTTTTGACTGATGGATCTGTACGTGTTTCAATACCAATAAAGGCTGTGTACGGGCAGAGAATATTATACTTTAATGAAGTAGCGATTGCTCTCTTTTTTCTATCATCTTCTATATTCTGTTGAAGTCTGATTTGTTGAGATCCTGCATGTTGTTCCTTCGAATGTGTAATTTCTTGAATTAGAGCCTTAGCTGCCAGATGGACTATTAATTGATTATCTCTGTCTGTGATCTCTGGTACACGATCGATTCTCGCTAGTCCAAGTTGAATTGTTTCTTCATGATTCCAGAGTTCGACAGTTGTGGAATGATCGAATTGATCACTTTCGATCAGTGCATAAAACAAAAGACGATCATTAGCATAAACAGGTGGAACAACTGTTGGAATAGTTTGAAGTTTGACTGATGCTAATGATGGAATATTCCATTTAATTTTAACATTGGTAATGCATGGTTCGAGAGCTTTCTGCAGTTGTTCAGCAACATGAATATCGACACTTGTTCCTGGAGGAATAAATGTGAAGCGACCATTCGTTGAACGAGCAAGACCTTTAATTAACGATCGACTTGGAGAATGACCAAGACCGAACGAAAAGATTCTTGATGATGTTGACATTGATCGACAAAGATCCATTACTTGGGTAACATTGGATATTTCTCCATCGGTCAATAGTAATATTTGTCTGGAATGACCAGCAGCAGGCGCCTGGTTTTGTAACCATTGCAATGGTCTCAATAGTTCAGTTCCACCCAGGTCAGCTGACATTTGTGAAATCAGTTGTTCGGCTTGTTTTACATTTTGTTCGTTGTATTTTTCTGTCACATTATTAAACAATGTTCTATAATCAGATCCAAATCGAATAATATTAAAGTGACAGTTGACTGGTAAACTCTTGAGAAACAAAACCATAGCTTGACGAGCCAGACCAATTTTATTTTCATCTTGCATCGAACCACTACAGTCGACAATAAAAATAAATTCATTATTAACATCGTCGATATTTTTGCTAGTATTAAATGCTTTTCTACAGTCTTCATTCGTTGGTGTAAACGATGCCATTAAGGCCCATTGATGTTCATCATTGTTTTCAATAGCTAAAATTGTATTTGTTCGAGTTGATAGTTCAATATCTAGAATAATGTCTCGATCCATGAATGTATTTTTTTGACCAAATGTTATTTCATATTTATTGTCATCAAATTTAATTGCTATTGGATGTGATGATGATGAAACACTCGTTATTTCTCCATGTAGTTTATCAATTTGACATTCAAAATCGATTGCGTACGGTGCCGATTGAACATACTTTGCTTGCGTACCAGCAGGAGATGAAATACCACCGACTGATGGATTGTATCGTGGTGCTATTGTTGTTGGTACAACGAAACGAATTTTATTTTGACTAACAAGATCCAATTCAGTCACGTACATAATTTGAATTTGACATTCTTTTCCGGGAAGAAGTGCTCCTACATTAATAATGAATATGTCTTGTGATTTTTCGTCTTGTTCCATAAGATAAGCACCATGACCTTGTTGCAAAGCTTGTGTATATTCTTGTTGTGCTTCAATTTTTTCTTTCAATTGAGCTCGAATTTCTCGATCATCGATTTTTGCTACAAACGAATAAATTGCAGCATTTTCTTCGATTGGAAAACAGTATACAGCTTCGATTGGTTGATTTTCATCGTTTCGAAATAGTTGTGTAATACTAACATCGGCACCAAATGAACGAATTTTTGAAACGATTGCAACTGATTTTAATGCCACATATTTTTGTTCGCGTGTTGATGCGTCAGATTTGATGCGGAGCATTTTTTTTAAGCAAAAAGCAAATACTATTTAAAAAATTACCTCTTGCTAGTCAGAAGAGATATGTCAGCGCTCTCGGTTTTTATACAGGTGTAGCAAATCAAAAGTTACGACATGTTTTTTTTCTGTCTTACATGAGTCACTGCTGTAAATCCCACAGAAAGAAATGTTTGGGTTTTTTTTTACTCAAGTAGTGCGTTTGATATGACTCATCTGTAAATAATTTCTTGTGCTTCCGTTGTAAGAAACGAATGACTCAGATTATTTGAGGAAAAAATCAACATTATATCAAAGATAATAGAAATTTCGAACATGAATAGTTCACCAATCAGATCAAGTTAAGTACTTCATTATACAGAGATTTATAATTCATAAAACTATTAAATTGTAATATACTAATTTTCAGATTTAATAACAGTAAAATGTAAGATCGGCTTTATTGTACTCATGTGAGAGAAACTACAAAGAATCGGCAATAATTTTCGATTTACTACTATCTTTCATAATTTCTGTGTGAAATGTAGATGTTGAACGTGAGTCTTCTTTTCATACACATTACAACTGATATAAGATGCCCATAATTCAAAATTCAAGTTGAATTTTTTCTTCATCTTTTTATACATAATTTGATAGAGCGTGAGCTGTTGATCAAGAAAAAACAGATGGGTGTTTTTCTTTCGCAAAAAATACACTGTTTTCGAATTACACAATCGTTTAAGGTTTTACTCCAGTTAAAACCTACTGAAGAATTTTCTTTTGTTGATTCATCATGAAAAAGTGAGTATATAAACTGTATTAAATCATTTCTAGTCCAAAAATTGTATTAATGATGGGGCATCTTCTTCCCTTGTTCCGAACCTGTGAAAAGTCGTTTTTGTAAACCTATTTCGTTTTTTTGTGTAAATGATGAAGACAAATGTTTCAGTTCTTTTAATTCATAGTACCATGAGTGACGAAAGTACGCATCGATTTTTTTCCTGCCCTTTCGTTGTTGGGAAAAATTATCCTTATTGAACTCTGACAGTAATCCTCACTTTTCTTCTTCAAAATCAGTCTTTTATCTAAGAAAATTGTCATATTGAAAGTCTACGTAAAAGGGTATGTGGGTGTAAGCCTTCTCTTCAACCACATCAACACTCCCACCTCACTCACAGCCACGTCCGCCAATACCCACACACGCATACCCAACTATCCATATACATAGTAGTCCTAGTTTTACAGATCCTAAATTTTGATAGCCTGTAGAAATCTTAAAATATCGCCGATTAAAGATCAGCCATGAAGATTTTGTATCAATTCAAGAACTGGAATTTTCGGAAGAATTTTCTAATGTCGAGAGTGTGGGAGTGCACGTGGTCATGATAGTGATTCTTGTTCTAGCATCCACCCACACCATTTTCACACAGTTACGTTTCGGCTCTACATTTATTGATTAATAGAGATTATGCAAGCAACCAATCGATGCAATAATCACATTTTTGAACAGCAATTGGCTTCGTCTCGTCATTCAGACACATGTTGTTCTTTAAATCTTGGTGGTAGTGTAATTTTGACAGATCATTTGTTTTTGAATAAATAGCAGTTTGATAAAAACCCGTGAAGTCTAATCTATAGTACTTAGAAATGTGAGCGTTTCTCTTATATCTGAAATGACATATGTTGAAATACTGTGATTTCAACATGTCTTATGACAAAATAATAGCTATAAGAGAATGAATCGATATTCATATACATGTTTTTTGAATCTTCAGGAGACAAAGAAAACTGGTTCAAAGATCAATATCAATATTCAATTATTAAAAATATATCAATCAATCTCAGGGAAAGATAAGAAAACAAATAGTAGTTTCAAGCAGTGCAGACTCGATCGTTAGTAAATTTTCTTAGTAGAGCAAAAGCAAAAGTATCAATAAAAATGTGTCACAAATTGGTGAATGTATATTAGGCTCGAGCAGCTTGAGCAGGCCACATTTCGAACCTTCCATCCGGTACTATAGCCCATCCAGTTTCCACGTACAAGACACCTTCAAAAATACGCTTTTGATTGTTCCAAGCCAACTGGTAGTGACATTTATGACCCGTATTGAATCGTGGATCTCCAGTTCCGAACTAAATAGAAATAAACGAGTATGAATTGATTTTCGGAATTTTTGTGGCAACAAAATTATAAATGGTTACAAGACGTTTCAAACAAAATTGAAGAAGTTAACAGGAACTTTCTCTTCTTCAAGCCTTATAAGCCGAATACTCCTCCCAAGAGACATTATGATAATTGATATAAAAAATATAACAAAGCTTCATATTCAACAACGAGTAATTTTCAGGTTAATGTAGTATAATAGACTATAGACTGAAAAACAAAATGCTATTAGCTGGCTTCTGAATGAGATGATAAATTAGTTAAAATTAAAAAAAAGTGCATGTAAATTTTTGTTTTGGTGACCCTCGTTTGTTCATAGATACAATGTACAGTTTTTATTTAATGATTGATATTGGCGAGCATTACATCTAGCTATCTTATGAAATTAGCCTTGAAAATTCAACGTGATCTACTGTCAAGATATGACATCTGAAAAAAGTGTTCCTTGGATATAGGATCTATAAGAATCAAAAGAGAGAAATTTCGATTGAAAATTTCGCTCTTAAGTAGGCTTCATGATCTGTCGAACGCCCTAAAATTTTCAGTCCAAACAGATGTTTCCTTCTAGAGATAGAGTACGTTAAAAAACGTTGATTTTGTGAAATGTCATCGTTTTTTGTCTTCAATATCTCGACTCGAAAGTTCCGCTTTGGTTGAAAATTTCAAAGCATTCTAAGGACCATGAAGCCTACTTATGGGCGAAAATCATATTAAATTTTCTTTCTTTAATTCTTGTATGGGGTCGAATATTTCTTCGAAGAGATATTCAATAACGTTAGAAGCTGAACAAGATACTTCTTAACTAAAATATGAGCATACTGAAGGTCCATAATCTCTATTTTTGTGATCAGCTTCCTCTCGTTGTCAAGAAATGTTCCTTTACTTTTAAAAGTTAAGACAAGAATTTTTTCTCTAATGCCTTGAATAGTATATTAATACATGATTTAAATCTTTACAATAGACGTTGATTCGAACAGAAAGTCTATTCTCTAGCTTTAGAGAAACTTCTTGGTGATTTTCGAAAGAAGCTTTCGCTTGAATGGTTTTTCAAAATGTTACCAGAAATAATTTCGAGCTTCAAGATTTACTTTGTATTTTTGAGTCATAGTTATTTGCAGCGTGTCCCTTGAATAAAATCCACTTAAGATGAAATCACCAATCGAATCGTTACCATGACCTTCAAGCGAGTTGTCATACGGTTTAAAAATCATCGAATGTGGAAACGGGCCAAACCAATTTCCATATTGGTAGAAACGGTTTGACCAAGCACCATTTACAAAAATACTATTTAATGGGTTTTGCACCATATGTGGAGACGAAACAAAAGCTAAAAAAATGAAAAATATTTCGATCTTAACGATATTCAATACAACTCACCTTTTTTCATCTTAGGTAATCCTAGAGAAGCATTGTTGTTACCTTTTGCGATCGGATGTTCTTTTTTCTGAGATATCCAATTATTTTCTTGATCTCTGTCACGTGAAGGTTGCATCAAATGACCTAGATTCAAATACGAAAATTATTTTTAGCATTTAACCACCTTCAACACTTATAATGAGGACTACTGATTATTGTTTTTTCTTTTTAGAATAAGACTCGAGGTTGGAACAAAATGCTTGTTTATTGAATTGAGTGTGGGCATGGGGTGAGATTCCGAATCAGTCTTCAGTTCATCCTCGCTTACAATGCGTCCCAACCATCCACATCCACACCACAGACTACAAAATACCGTTTCTAATAATGTTTCTGATAGATTTCAAACATACAAATCTCTTCGTAGTGAGATAAAAAAAAAAGGTATTATATTTCCAAGGTAAAAACTTGAATTCAGTTACTATCAATGATGGCGAGATATTCAACAAGTTAATTCGTAACTGCATTTCATTCTGAAATAGATACTGTTTACCTGATGGTAGTTTAGCTTTTTCAGGTGATCCAAAATTAGAGTTATGCAACGGTTAATATCTTTTACCTGTTGGTGGTTTGATATGGATGGATTTGATGCTTTTAGGTTTCGGTGAATTGTCCGTTTTCGTGGACGAATAGTGTTGAGTTGTCTGTGGCTTGGTTTTTACTGACACAACGTGATCAGCATTTTTCATTGATAGAGGCTGCTTATTTGGTTTACTCATAATAGGAGTTAGAATACTAGGCTTTTCCATCGGCTTCGGTGTTGGTGTTAAATGTGCAAATGGTGGTTTAACAAATGTAATAGGTGGTTCCATTTCTTTGAGATGAATAATATGTAATCCATCTTCTAAATTCAGCTGACTCATGACTTCGAAGTAAGACCCAGGCATTAGAATGACTTCGTGTTCTTTGTTTTCAAAATAAGAATGCGATCCAATTGGTTTTCCATTTCGACATTCGATGGAGAACAACGTTCGCATTCCATGGTTACCCAAAAATTGATCACTATTAAGAACTTCTAAATTGGATGTACATGAACTAACACCCCACCAAACAAACTTGTGTCCAGTCGGATACATGGAGCTCATATCAACATTACATATTCCTCGCCATACTGTCTTAGCACAAGAAGGAATCTTGTAAAGAGCCGAAAGAAATAGTTTAAGAAAAGGAAACCATGGTTTAAGTTGTTGTCGATTTTTATTTCTAAGAGCTGAATTGAGGATTTTATACAAACTAGGTTCGATATCGAACTGCATTGTATATAAATAAATCGACGCCGATTCATCTTGTTTGAGACCATCTGCTGGATACTTGCAATTGTGTTTAGCTACAAATACATAATCACGGATGCCGTCGAAGAAATCGGATACAAAAGATATTGATTCTTCCAATGGTATTGGAAGAGTTGCCTCGTAGCCTTTGATGGGCGAGAGAAATTTTGCTAACGGTTCATCACGTACGTCACTATAGCGAGACATCCGATGTTGTTTTTGCAATCGTACTGAGCTTTTCATGGGAATAAGTATAGATGACACTCACAATGTATACAGTAAGTCACACTAAATATCAACGACACAAGACTTGCAATAAGTTAGACACATGATGTGAGTTCTTATTTGTATGAAATAACGAAGAAAAGGAAGAAACGCTTCAATAGTTAAGTATATCAATCAACAAAACCGCTCGTGACTAGTAAAAAAACAACATTCTCATAGGAGAAGGAATGATGATGAAAAACATAGACATTTACTTCATTGCAAACGTCATATCATTACCTTTTTCTAATGTTTTTTTACAAACCTTTTGTAACACACCAGAAAAGGACAATTTTTTGTTAGTTATTTTTTACATTACATTTATTTAATAAAATTATTGAGAAAAACATATTCTGACAATTATCAATTTTTGTAACATTTCTCAATTTGCACAATATGAAGCAGAGATACAACAATCTTCTTTTTACCACTGTATACTCCTCAGTTTGTATTCGTTTCTCTGTACTCGACTACTGTTTCAAATTTAGTAATTTAAAACATGAAAAATAACCTAGTTTTCTTAATCAGAAGCTTTTGTCTAAAGTCTGCTTCTAAGCCTTGATTATATCACTCTATTTCTGTTATGATGTGCATTATTTTCATTACAAGTAGCTCATTCTCGATGTATATGTTCTTTTCAATCACAAAACGATCTACATCGTTAATGTTTATTCAGATTTTGTTTTCAACAAAATATTGACAACAATAGCTTATTTTGTTTTTTTGTGAATCTGATGTGAACATCTGCAAAAACTATGTTGTCTATCGAATGTATAACTATTATGAAACGTATGTTTATTCTTTTTTTCTAACCATTTAGGTTTGTACAGAACTGAATTCCATATACAAGTGACAACATTTCAATTATTTCTATTCCCAAGATTTTAAATTTAAAAGTTTAGGATAGAAACACATTGTGGTTATCAATTTGTATTGGAAACCGATTTCTACTCATATCACAAAGAACTCGATTTTCTACAAACCTAACTGATTAAATGATCACGATAGGTTCGTAAACGAATAGTTACTTCTCAATAAAATCAACTGTGAATTTAGTAGTATCAAAGCAATACGATTTGGTGAAGTCAATTTACGTTTATTAATTAATCGTGACTATATCTTGAGACTATGGATATGACTAGAATTGATAACTTTAATTCAAAAATTCAAGGTATCACCACGATATTCATGTCAACCTTGCTTAAGGGTCTCATCAGATAGACGGCGTAGATGTGTGTGAGTGCGTAGATTTTGCACGACTGAAGAAAATTTTGATTCAGTTCAATGGAATAATATCATATATGTTTTTTTTTTTGTTTAGCTGTATTTGTAAAATATATGTACTTTCATTATGTGTACGCTTGTTGTAATGTTTGTGTCACAAGAGTAATTAGAATTCAAGAAAATTAAGTATTTCTCTAAAACAATTTAAAATCTCACTTGACCCTCATTCTCAAGTTTATTTTATCCTAGGAAAATATTACAGTTTGCTCAGTTCTAAGTTCTTCGGTAACATTTATCTCTATTTTTTTTTCAGAAAAATGAATAGATTATCGCAATAAATTAAGAATATAAACACGAATAGAACCATGAGATGGCGCAACAAGCACTCCATCAAGGTCTTCACAACGTGACATAGGCACACGTTTGATCGCGAGACAGTCTCGTCTATCTTTGTATACTATAGTTTATTCGAGTATTTATTAATTCTATTACTATGATAATACAAAAAATCAAATGAACGTATTTTCGTTAAACAAGCTATTTGAAAATGGAGACGACCAATAAAATTTGAAGAAGATTTTCTACATGTTCTTAAATCATTCATTTTGTTTCTACTTAAAGTCACCCTATGTAAATATTTCCTGTATTACCCAAGCAGACAAAAATTTCAAAAAACGCGTTTAAACGCACAATCGGGAACCGCGACTATGATCCATTCACGCTCATTAAAAAAACGCAAGAAACGACGTTTTTTGTGCAAAATAGTCAATTTTCAAGCGTGAAAACGGCAAAAATATAAAAAACTGAGCGTTTAAACACGTCGTTTTTTAAATCTNCCTTATAAATATTTCCTCAATTTACTCGAACACCCATATGCACACGCACACCCACATTCCATCCACACCCTTATAGCATCCTTCAGTTTTTAGCCGCTTAGTAGCAGTAATCTTTATTTATTCATAAAGAGATCGTTTAATTGATCTTAATTGATTTTACTAAATTAAACTAGTTAATCGTCATAAAATTCAAATCATTAATACTAAATAACATTAATTAATGATCATCTATATTCCTTACTGATTAGTAAAACAAAATACATTGTTCGCGTATGTATTAGTTTTTTAGCAGTCTGATTTAAGAAAGTTTAATTCTTTTAACAAAAAAAAAGTTGTAAATCTTTGTATATTTTACTTGTGTTTTTCTGATACTCATTTCATGTTTCAACATTCATGACACTTATTTCAATTCGATCAATTTCTGCTTCAGCTTCACGTCAAATTTTTTCTATATCAAGTAAAACACGATTATATTATTGCGAATTAGTTAAAATTGATTTCGATTTTAATTTTAATTGTTCAATGGATGATGATAAATGATCAAGCATATGACGTAAATTTTGGATTGTACCATCTTGACTTGTTATTCGAAATGTTGATGAAGATGATATCATTCGACCATCATAAGATTTTAATGATTTAAGAATTTATTGTTTTGATGTTAATTGAAATTCCATTTTCTATAGAAATTAGAATCATATAAAAAGAACTAAAAAGATACAAAAAAATATGCTTTACATTGCATCTTTTTATATTATCTTTAGTACCAACTTCTAAGTTTCTCGTACACATAAATTCAATAACCGATGTGTTGTTCTTGTATCCAATCAGATAGTGTACGTATAGTTTGATCGAATTCATTAAATTGATTAATTGAGTTGTTCTAATGTCTACTAGAATGCAAAAGATTAATATACTTAGAAGATCTTTTTCTTTATATATATATTCTTACATCAATTCGAGCCGAAATCAATGAGTTTATTTTAAATCAATCAATATTAATTTGTTTAATACTTTCCATATAATCAATACTTGTTAAATCTATATTAGCTTTTTGTTGAAATCATTCATTAAGAAAATCAATCGTTCTTCGATGGTTAAATACATCAGCACACATATCCCATTCAAATGAACTTCTTTTATACAAAGAAATATATAAAACTACAATGAATTTTCATAGATTTCAAATTAAATTTATTAAGCCGATAAGACTGTTACAACAGTCCATATCTTAGATTGTTCAAACTAATATACTCGAGCTTAGATGAAGAAATGTCAGATCAAAATTTTAAGTCTCATTTCTTATAATCTTTGGACTTAACTCTGAAGTGACTATAATAGAGAAAATGTATTCAATGTCTTCAGTCAGACAGTATTTTCTCAACGATCATATAAAAGATCTAAATGGTTAAGCTCAAGATAATATTAGTTTTGTCTGAAACGTGTTCCATGATCATCATTCAATAAACGTTTAATTGTATCAATAAATACAATCATTTCTTTACAAGCTTGTCTTGATGGTAAATTATTAATAATATTTTGATGAAAAATATTCTCATATCGTAAAACTTCTGTCTAAAAATCTAAGAAAATAAAAAGAAAATTTATCCATATCAAATTTTGAATTTTTCACTCACTTTAAGATATGTCCATTTATAATGAAAATTGTCTAAGTTACTTTCTATTAATTGTAAATCATAAAGATTATAAGTTGTTAAATGCTTTATTAATATTATTATATTTGAATAAATATCTGCAATATTTTCAAGACGTTTTTTTGACATTCTACAACGAATTGATTATTTCAAATGAGAAAAACAAAATTTTTCAAAGATACCATCATTTTTTTGTAGTTGAATTTTAAGTTCACTAACATCACCATCATAACGTGTTTAAGATTCATTTGAATATTATCTTAATGTATCTTCAATTAAAGCTAAATTACGTTTTATATTATTAGCATGAGCTATTTCAGGATGGGTGTGGATGGGCTGGATCAATTCTTCGTTCACAACCATACATCCACAGTCACTCCCTTCTTATCAGTGATGTTTCTACCTGCATTTTCTTTCTTTTTCATTCCAAAATCTCTTGAAAACAAAACAATTTGAAGAAGATTGAGTGAAAAACTCTAGCCGCTGCCGTCATAGATGGGAAAAAGATTATCTTTCACAGCCACTGTTCAGTGTTTATAAAAATTGAAAATTTTCAGCCGCTGCCACCGCCGATCAACCCGTCGGTTTATATCTCTATATCTTGCGTCATCTGACATATCATTCAGAAAAAGGTCAACGAACGAGTATATAAAGGAATAGAATTTAATTATTTGCTTCAGTATTTTCGTTACTTCGTTCGTTTTCAACTATTTCTTTCATTTATTTTCATACAACGTTAGGCAGCTATCATGTCGAAACAAGCCTTTGAAGAAGCAAATGAAGCTTTTGTTGACGGAAAATATGAAGAAGCATATAAAGTTCGTTCTGAAGAAACTTTCTCTTTTCTCTTATAATAAAACGTTGATCTTCTAGTTTTATACAAAAGCTCTTTTAAACGATGATAAAATCGATCATCGATATACTTCCAATGTCTTAGCATCACGTGCTCAATGTTCATTAAAATTAAAAAACTATGCAGGTAAATACGAATTTGTTTTTCAAACTATTATTACGACTCTATTGTTATGTTACTTATTCTTCTAGATGCATTAAAAGATAGTAATGATGCAATTAAATTAGATGAAACAAATATTAAACCATATATTCGTAAAGGTGTTTCATTATATAATCAAGGTTTAAAGGAAGAGGCTCTACAAGTATTTGTTCGTGGACTTGAATTTGATTGTAAATTGATTGTATTCATCTTGTTTTATAAACATTTTATTTTTTTATTAAGCTGCTGATGAACAATTGAAAATATGGCAACATAAATGTGAAAAAGAATTAGCAGGTACAATTTCCTCTTCTGATTAATTAAATTATAGTTTTATTTTAATTTAGAACAAAAGTCTGTTACTATGACTGTTTCTGTTGAAAAAGAAAAATTAACCACGAATGCTATATCTGGTCCTCCATTGCCACCAGCAAAAATCAAGTATATTTTATATTTTCTTTTTGCTACTATAAATATTTATAACTTGTTGTTATTAGACATTCCTTCTATCAAACAGATAGTGTTGTTACTATTCAAATCCCCATTAAAGGCTTGAAAAAAGATCAAGTTCAGATTCATTCAACAGATGCAACTGTTTGTATATTTTTATTGGCAATGTCAATTTGATAATATTAAATATCTATAATGATTGTTTTTAGATTAACATTCATACGAAAATACCATCTTCTGGTCAAGATTATTCACTTGAAGTCGATCTTGCTTATCAAATTGATTCATCACGTACAAATTTCAACGTTACTGGTTCAAATGTAAGAAAAATAAAATTATTTTATTTTTTGTTTAATATAATGTTTCTTGTTTTCAACAATAGCTCGAAATAAAATTATATAAAAGACAAGCTATACAATGGACATCGTTAGATGCTCAATCAACAGCAGCTAAAGTTCAACCACCAGGTACAATGTCATTAAACTATTTTATTTTTGTATTTAAATTATATTTCCAGTTCCAATGAGTCGATCTTTGGTTGAAAAAGCACCAAGTTATCCATCATCTAGTCTACATGCAAAAAATTGGGATAAATTGGAAGCTGAAATAAAAAGAGATGAAAAAGAAAATAAGGATGATATGGGTGATGGAAATGCGTATGTTATTGTTTTCTTCTAATTTTGTATTGTTTTTATAAAATCCATATATATCTAGTATATTTCAAAGACTCTATCAAGATAGTGATGAAAATACACGTCGTGCAATGAATAAATCAATGGTAATTGTATTCGGATATTTCTTTTAACTATGAAATAATTGAAATATTATTTTTAGTATGAATCTGGTGGTACATGCTTAAATATGAATTGGGAAGAAGTATCTAAAGGTCGAGTCACCTGCGAACCACCCGATGTCAGTTTATTTATTTAATTTGTTTTTAATAATATCGAATCTCTTTTATTCGTTTAGGGAATGGAATGGAAAAAATATGATTCGTAGATATGACCTATACAATGTAATGAAGAGAATAAATTTGTTCATCTTTCAACAAAAAAAATTTTTCTATACTTAATCATACACTTCTTTAATATAATATTAAAACAAATTATCTTTCATATATATATGTTTTTTCTTTATGGTTAAATAGTATAGCTCTGTAAGTTTTTTTTCATAAAAATACACAAGTATTCTTTTACTGTAACAAAATAAACAAAAGCTATCGTCCACTAATTTCTTCAATCAACCTTACGTTAATCTATTCTCATAATTCTCTAGACTTCATTTTACGTATTAGATAAATTTGTCAATGGTTCTCATAATAGCTATAGCATTTGCTTCTAGTAATATGCATCGAATTTTTATTGCGCTTCAACCGATATCTATTTCGAAAAAAAAGGCTAATTCTTCGATCGAATACATGCTGCAGTAGTATTGTGCTTAACCTTTTGGATAAAACCTAGTACAAAAATGCAAAATAACTTAACAAATTATTTTCTTACATTATTTTAGAGGACCTTTCTTTTTATCTCAAATTTATCTACAAGGTGGTTGTGGATGTGAGTCGACTAAGAGCACACCCACACTATCTAGATTAAACAATGCTTCTAATGGAGAACATATTCTTTTAGAAATATCATCTGTTTTGATATGTTCAATGGGTCCAGATGCAATAGAGAAAAAGTATATCATACAGTATTGGGATCACAAAGATGTTATAATATTTATATGCTGGGTAACGCCAAGCGACAAGTCACGATATCCAAGACTGTACATTTGGGTGTGTGGTTGTGGATGAAGAATAAGTCTACTCCAGCCATGCTCACATCCACTCACACCCACCCTTAACAAACAAAAAAATAAAGATAACACTTGCTACATATATTTAGAACGAGTTTCAGTACATGCGGAAAACCTCTCATTAATTGTTTTTTATTTTCACTGCACAACAAATGAAAAAAAAAATTCAAAATCAATCTTTTAATGATTCTTTGATTTTTCTTAACTCCTTTGTTCCTTTATCGATTAGAAGTGCAACATTACTATTACTAGTAATAAGTAATAGCCTATAAGATGATTATTGATTGTCGGTAACTAGACATAATTTGCAAAAGTAATAAAAGTAACAAAGTGTTATAATATTAAAATTAGTAAGTCCTAGAAGCAATATTATTACAAGTTTATTATCAGTAATAAAGTAATAAAATGATTATCAATCATCCAGTAATAAAAACAACAAGTAAAATCTCTACTAGTGAGCACTTCTTTATAGTGAAAACCTCATTATTCTGAGCGTTTTTAACCAGTCAGAAAAATCAATTTTTGCTGAAAACGGACCTCTCGAAAGTGAGCACCTCCTTATTGTGAACGTTTTGAACAGTGCTGATCGTGCTCACTTTATAGAGACTTCACTATAGTAATGTAGCAGTCCTATTATTGATCTGCGTGTCTTCTAAATTAAACTATTAAATATATTTGAGGTCACCCATTTTCGATAAAAACATTTCGGAGTTTGTCGGAGTGGGAGTCGGAGTCGGGTTTTGGAATAAAAAAACCTGACTCCACAGGTCTTTACTTAGAGCAGATCAAAAGTAGTGTCGTCAATATCTTTTTCCCATAAAGAAAACTTGAAGAAAGTTTTGTTTACGTAGTAGTAGAGAAAACAACGCTCTCTGTTTTTGTGCTATTTAATCACTATTGGTTTAATATCGTAATAATAAAATTACGATTGGAATTGTTTTTCTATAAAATATAACGGTTGTATCCATGCTATTTGAAATAAAAAGGCCGAGTGAGTATTTTTCGAATAAGTTTTCATAGGAACAAGATAAAGAGCTGCGGTTTTCACTCTTCGAAAGAAGAGATGGAGATGCGTCGAATTAAATATTATGGGCTTTCTAAACATGTTGTCTGAATTTTATTTAACCAATTATCTAAGTTTTAAAAAAATGGCTTTTTATTAAAAAACAAACTGCAGAAACACTTTTTTCATAGAAGCTGCTTAAAAATCACTTACAGCTGCAGTTATGTTACTTATGACACGTGAAAAATTAATTTCAAACATGAAAACCTTATGCAGGGTGTGGGCGTGGGTTATGAAGACAAGACTGAGACACACTCGCATACGCTACATCCACACCTCATAAACCCACATCCACACCCTGCACAACTTAATCGATAAAAGTCCTCAATATACTATTCTGTAAAGCGTGAAAAAGTACTTCGATCTATACTATAATTTTTCATATTAAGAGAGTCCCATTCACAATAGATTTATCACTTAGAATGATCTGTTGAGGCTAAAATGGTCAGAAAATGCATAATCCTTGTAAGAAACGTTTACGATAAAAATGTCAGCTCTATATGTCAAACTAGACGGAACTTCTAGCTTATTTGTAGTCTATTTATAACTTCCAGGAGAACTCTTATATTTTCTTTAAATTAGCTGCTCGATAGCTAGAATTGGTTTCAAATTAAAGCGAATATTAATGCATATAGGCAAAAAAATGATAATTCAAAATATTAAACTCACTTTTTTTTAACACGGGTACCAACTATCAAAAATCGGATTGGGTAGAAGTTTACTCTCGTTGAGATCTTTAAAACACCGGCGATATGTGGAACACTATGGGAGAAGTTTCAATTTTGCTGATTGAAAACAATATTCTGAGAAAGACGATAAAAAAGTTCAGAAATTAATTTTTTCTTCAAATCCAGAAAAAAGTTATATTAAACGGCATATTTAAAATATACATATATATAGAAATTTTTAAAACACAAAAAATTATACAAACTATCACCATCAACCACACTTACGTAACTACAATGATGTATTCAATGCTCATGTGAGAAGAAGAGAATCTTTCCCAAACTGAAAAAACGATTAAAAGAACTATGAAAATTTCTCAAGAAGGCACTATATCAAGATTGAAATTTTCTTCGAAAGTCTATTAAAAATGACTGTTTTGCAAAACGCTATATATATTTTGAAAGAGAAAATTTCACTGTATTTTCCGGTAGTAGTTTGCTTCGAAAAAATAGATTCTATGAGGAGCACGCCTAAGTTTGAAAAGAAAAATTAACAATTTCTACGATAATTATAAAAAGAGAACTAAAAATGATAGACTCCAAAGTCCATTGAGTTCTCGAAAGTTTTATTTGCATTCAGCAAAAACAAATGAATACCAAAAATTCTAAATTTCATCTTTCTAATCAATTAAAATTTTTACTGAGGGAGTTCGCAGATTTATGATCTAATTTGACAATAACCTTTAATATTATATTAGTTTGTCTCATGAACTTCTTGAAGAATAGCCATAGATTATTAACATAGAAAAAAAAACTATTTATCTTATAACGGTTCTTTTCTTTCCATTAGAAAACAAAAAACCAACATAAGGATCTGCACTGCACAAATACAATAAAGGAAATTCTGTAAAAGAAGAGTCAAACAATACCGAAATCTACTTAGATGTTCGTTGTCAGAATTTTAAGGATAATTAACTATATTGGAGCCATTATATTACAAAAATTGTTCCTTTTGGGTGCAGGTGGATGTGATTGTGGGTACTAGTGTTCTCTTTGCTCACATCCATACCCTCGGTCTAAATTAACATGAGTATGAGAACACAAGTGCTAGTATTGTCTTCACTGACAGTCAGCTTCTCCCGAAACACACACTCAAAAACTCTTACACTCATATGTATTAACTTTTTTGTTAGTATTCAAGTGTTTATTTTTCAAAATTCTAAAATATAAGTCGATCAATTAGAAGATGATGACGAGATGTATTCATGAATGCCATTTTTTGAATACTTATATATTATGGTGTCACTTAAAGAATAAATAATTGAAGACAATATGATACACATCTAAATCAATTGATATTTCAATGCTGAATCGATAAGTTCGAAAGGTTTACCATGATCAGTACATTAACAACAACATCTAAAGTTTACATACAATGTACATAAAATTGTGATTCAAATATCAATTTAGTTTACATTAATAGTAGACTTTTAAAATATTTTGTTATCAAAGATTATCGTGTTATTCTTAATCGTACTCTTCTCGTCACACATCCCATTCAATAAAAAGATCGTTCATCTTTATGTAACTTCCTATCACTCACTTCTACTTCGACAACCGCCTATAAAACAACTTCATATAAAAAAATTCGTTAGATAGTTAGACACTGAAAAATCGATTTGCAGCACCAACAACTTGAGTTTGTGAACACAACACTTTAGATACAGAAACTAACATTATTTCATTGTAAGAAAAACTTGAAACCAAAGAAATCAATATATTCACGATAAGGTCAAAGCTAAAGTGTGCAAGTTTTACAAATATCCGAACATTATCAATAGTCTTTCAAAAAATACTTTCTACTGTTTCTAATCCTTCTATAGTCCAGCCTTTCGCCTATTTCAGATAAACATTACATTTTGTTTATTAGTTCAGTGCAAATATGGAATAATGGATCGAATGCGTGATTGACTGCGCTTATAGAACAGTTTAATACACTGTCAGTAAAACCAGAATAACACTATCATCGTAGCCTTTGTTGAAATCTCTGTACTGAATCGATTATATCTGTAGGAGCGTTTCATCCGAAGGATGTAAACTCCTAGATTTCTTCTTATTGAAATGAAAAAATATTTTTATGTCCTATTTTATTTCTCAATTCTTGTTTACAAACATCTGCAATACATACTAAGAAAACAAAACAGATGTGAATATATACTTCTTATAAACCATAATTGAAATTAATTTCTTGATTAATAATGATGAGCTATTTTAAGCTAAATAATGTAAAATATCTTTGTCATTGGAATCTCTTTTAAGATATTCTTTATCAATTAATATATCAATACATTGCTAGAAGATAAATTCAATAAAATACGTTTACCTTAATCAAAGAAATTTCAGGTTTAAAACGTAAACTTAATTTTTCAATGATTTCTTGCATTAATAATGAATGTTTTAAACTTTGCTGTTGTTTCATTATTCGAACAATCATTGCCTAGACATATCAAAGTTTATTAGAAATAAAAATTTAATTTTTATCTACTTGAATAACTAAATAACGATCTTTATCGATTGATATATTTAAACATTCCAAATCTTGTTGTTCGATTGATCTTAATGGTACATTTAAATTTATTCGAATTTTTTTACTAGAACAAAAAAAAAAGAAAGAATTAAAAATTTACTTCTAACACTAAACAACTTTACCTTGTAAAGTTTTTCGTTAATTCAATTGTATGATTCATTTGAATATCATGATCTTGAAAATTTTCAGTAATTTCCTGACATAATAATATTTTACTCTCCAATAGACTATAAAGAACTTGAACTAATAATTCAGGTCGAATTTGTGTTTTATCTCGTATTCCCTCAACTGTCAGTTTTATATTTCCATTAAATAATAATAATACAATCATTTGATATGTCGATACCTTTGAAATAATGAATTCAATGTGAAATTTGATAAATAATCAATTCTTACTTGCAATGTATATTTCTTTTTAGTAAAATATGTTTGTATTTCACCTTTTGAATGTTGATGAAGCCACATTAATTTTCGACCATTATGACGATGAGTATAAAAATCTGTAAAACTATCCAATATTGCTTTCAACTGAAAGAAAAATAGAATTATCAAAAAGCAATGAAGAATTAATTACTTCAACTAGTAAAATAACATTTGGCAAAGATGAGAATGGCCATAAATTTGAATTCAACACCATTACAGAGAAGTTGACTATAAAAAAATATGACGCGAACTTTTCTTTTGAAATACTCAAAAATATATCTTACCAATGCTCTTTGGGTTATTAGTTTTACAATATGATTGATATTCATTAGTTAAATTTTTGCTAACGTCAACATCGTGCATCATTCGTTCGAATCTTGATGTATATTCAAAACCACATGTTTGCTGTAAAAATAAAGTAAAATGAAGAGTAAGAATCATGATAGATAGATTATATACTTTTAATTTTGATATCATTAATTTTTCATCATCATCACCATCAGTTCTTAATTGATCAACTAAACGTTTTGACAACATTTTACGATAGAATTTTTCATAAACATCTTTATCTTCAATATAATTAAAAATGATCTAAAAAGACAACAGTAACATTAATCAAAAGAACCAAAGAAATAATACCAATATTTCATTAAATTTTTCCTTAATAGTTTCGTCTCTAGAAATATAATTTCATTAATTTTTAAGTTTCAAGTGAAATTAAACGAACCCTTTTTGTAAAAGTTCATCACAATATCGAGCTAATAATTCAGCTGATTTTGTTGTTGTATCAGCTTTTTGTGTTATGGCATTATTATTTATAAACTTATGACAAGCCTATAGCATTTCAATAATAAATTCAAATTCAAATGGGCAAAAGTTTACTTTATCGAAGGCAGCTTCAAAGTATGATTCAGTACCAAAAATTTCTAAGAATTTTTTATAAATATTAATGAGTTCTTTGACATACGTTTCTGGATCCTGTTGCAGAGAAGAAGAGAAAAAATATTAGGAAAATGGGGTTTAAACATACATCAATTGCAGTTTCACTAATACGTTGAATAGTATTTATACCAAATTGATAAATATGATCTGTAATCATATCCAAGAGTTTTGTTTTAGCTTTTGGAATTCGATTGACTAGTTCCCATAAATGTTTTATATCTACATTTAAATCGAAGATATAGATATTTATTCTATAGTAGAAAAAGAATCCAATCATCACCTTCAACCTTTTCAGTTGATATGATGGTTCGCATTTCGTTTGTTATCGAAGTTAGATTCGAGTCCGAAAGAAATATTTCTTCGAATTTATTGATTAACAATTGTAATGTAGATTTGGATGGTGGCAAGAAGGATTCAGAAAAATTCATTTCTTGATTGAAATATTCTGATATCTATGAAATCAGTGAATAAAGTGTAAATGTTATATTTGATGATCAAATAAACAAATTTACTTGAGTAAGATATTCATTAATCGATTTTGATTCAAGAGATGGAGTTTTTTGTTTAAGATAAAAATCTTCTGCATCGCGAAGGAATTCATTTTCGAAATATTTTTTTATAGATGTCAATAATTGGTTCGCTTCTTGAATATTTATCCGAAAATTCATTAATCATCTTTTCATAATTAGGGTTCACTAAAGAAATATTTACAACTAAAATTAATAAGAATCATTGTTTAGTTACATACTATACAATTCAATAATATTTTTAACTAATCCAATATCGATAGATGATTTATTGTTACGATACTCTTTGATTAATTTAAAAAATGTTTGTGTTACAGTTGGAAATAGTGGTTTGAAGAAAGATTCGTTCCATATNAAACACCTTTACGAATATACGCTTTGATATTTGTTTCATCCAATTTAATTGCATCATTACCGTCTTTTAATGCATCTAAAAGAAAAAGTAACATAACAATAGTGTCGTAATAATAGTTTGCAAAACAAATTCGCATTTACCTGCATAGTTTTATTAATTTTTAATGAACATCGAGCACATGATCATCTCATACAGAATGTTCTAGCCATCGATTTCAAAGAAAACCGTATTGCTTGTGGTAGATTCGCCTATATCAATGGTGAACTACGATTCAGCAGTATTTGGCTACATTGTGGAAACCAGGGTGTGGGTGTGATGTGTCTAGAAGATCAACATTGACACCTAATAATACCCACACACACACCCTCATCGAAACACTTTCAAAGTCTTAGCATCACGTGCTCAATGTTCATTAAAAATTAATAAAACTATGCAGGTAAATGCGAATTTGTTTTGCAAACTCTTATTACGACACTATTGTTATGTTACTTTTTCTTTTAGATGCATTAAAAGACGGTAATGATGCAATTAAATTGGATGAAACAAATATCAAAGCGTATATTCGTAAAGGTGTTTCATTATATAATCAAGATTTAAAAGAAGAAGCTCTGGAAGTATTTTTTCATGGACTTGAATTTGATTGTAAATTGATTGTTTTCATCTTTTTTTTCTATAAAAATATATTTTTTTATTCAGCTACTGATGATCAATTGAAGATATGGCGGCATAAGTTTGAAAAAGAATTAGCAGGTACGATATTCTTTTCTGATTCAGTAAATAATAGTTTTATTTTAATTTAGAGCAAAAGCCTATTACTATGGCGGTTTCTGTTGAAATAGAAAAATTAAATACACATGCTACACCTGCTCCTCCATTGCCATCAGCAAAAATCAAGTATATTTAATATATTTTTTTCTATAAGTATTTATTAGTTGTTGTTTTTAGATATTCGTTCTATCAAACAGACAGTGTCGTTACTATTCAAATTCCTATTAAAGGCCTGAAAAAAGATCAAGTTTAGGTTCAATCAACAGATACAATTGTTTGTATATCTTTATTCAGTGTCAATATGATAATATTAAGTATCAATAATGTTTTTTCTAGATCACTATTCATACGAAAATACCTTCTTCTGGTCAAGATTATTCACTTGAAGTCGATCTTGCTTATCCAATTGATTCATCACGTACAAATTTCAACGCCACTGGTTCAAATGTAAGGAAGATGAAATTATATTAATTTTTCGTTTAATATATTGTTCTTTGCTTTCAACAATAGCTCGAAATAAAATTATATAAAAGACAAGCTATACAACGGACGTCATTAGATGCTCAATCAACAGCAGCTAAAGTTCAATCACCAGGTATAATGTCATTAAATTATTTTTTTTCCTATTTAAATGATATTTTCAGTTCCAATGAGTCGACCTTTAATTAGTTGAAAACACACCAAGTTATCCATCATCTAGTCTACATGCAAAAAATTGGAATAAATTGGAACCTGAAATAAAAAGAGATGAAAAAGAAAATACAGATGATGTAGGTGATGCAAACGCGTAAGTTATTATTTTGTCTTGATTTTGTATTGTTTTTATAAAATCCATATTTTTCTAGTATTTTTCAAAGACTCGATTAATATTGTGATGAAAACACACGTCGTGCAATGAATAAATCAATGGTAATTGTATTCGGATGTTTCTTTTAACTATGAAACAATTGAAATATTATTTTTAGTATGCATCTGGTGGTACATGTTTAAATATGAATTGGGAAGAAGTATCTAAAGGTCGAGTCACCTGCGAACCACCCAATGTCAGTTTATTTATTTAATTTGTTTTTAATAATATCGAATCTCTTTTATTCATCTAGAGAATGGAATGGAAGAAATATGATTGATAGATATGATCTATAAAATGAAATGAAGAGAATAAATTTGTGTATCTTTCAACAAAAAAGTTTTTTTTCTTTACTTGATCATAGGCTTATTTAATATGATATTAAAACAAATTATCTTTCATATCTATTTCGAAAGAAAAGGCTAATTCTTTGATTGAATACATGTTGCAGTAGTAACACTGCACTTGATTTTTCTGAAAAACGTAGTCCTAAAATGCAAATCAACTTAACAAATATCACTTGTCTTCTGGAGGAGAATCGATTTCAAAGCAAAACGCAAGAAACATATCTAGTTGAGTAATTTGGTATTTTATTCTTTGAGGGATATAATAAGATGTCGGTGTTGAAATGGATGAATAAAAGTACTAGTAAATGTAAATTAGGCTTATTCTTTAGAAATACACTCAAGTACAGCTAGAGGAGAACCATAACATTTGACTAATGCCGATTTATTTTGAGGAAAGTAAATAGCTGTTAACATTTAATTTTTAATGCCATACGAAATGACCAAACACCCAATAAAATCTAGATCAAACAATGTTTCTAATGGAGAACATATTCTTTAAGAAACATCATCTGTTTTAAGAATATGTTCAATGGATCCAAATACAATAACAAAAAAATATATTTTACAGTATTGGTATCACAAAGATGTTATAATATTTATATGCTGGAGAGTGCCAAGCGACAAGTCATAATATCCAAAGAAGCTGGTATCCTACTTGTTAAGCTGAGTGTGGGTATGTAAGGTTGAAGCGAAGATCTGCACTTACATCCAAATCTGAGGATATCCGAATGTCGAGTTGGATATCAATCTCGTTACACCAAATTCACTTAAAATCTTTAAATTGATGGTAAATGGTATCAAGACATACATTAGAGGAATATCTTAATCCCTATATGGAGAAACTCGATATCCGAGTTATAGCTATGACATCTCTCTACGATTTTCGGCTCAATGATCTCTGAAAAACAAAATAACCTTTTTACATGAGTCTAAAGACCGATAAACATAGAAATAGTTTTCAATAAAAGCTTGTAGAATCTTTTTAAACATAATTACCTTTTTTATGATATTGGAGAATAGAAAGTCGAGAGTACAAATTAAGTGGAAAGCACTCTTGAATTTGCCGAAAATATTATCTAGTTTTGTGATGAGTATCGCATTGTCTACTTTTCAGTTTCTTTCGACTTGGATCCATTGCTCAAAATGTAATATATTTTGTTAAGTCTTGTTTGGTTCTTGATGTTCACTGTGTTGTTTTACTGATTTCCCAAGTTCCCATCGATAATTAGGTGCATATAGATTAATATTACTTGATTTTCTTCACGTCATATAGACATGGAAAAGGCGTCTGGTTGTTATGCATTAAGTACATGAGACGCTACTGTGAAGTACAAGAAATACCTGGATCTTTTTGAACAATATTGATTTAAAATATTTTCTATTTTCTATCTCTNAGGACTAAGATAACAAAAATTGAGCCACTTTTTCAGAAACGAAGTCGAATTTAGCGGAACGTGAATTGATTTTTTAAACGTGAATCCGAACTGAATTGAATTCGAACCAACGAAAATGATTCGATTCGGTTAATAATGACTAGGGAAGGGAAGTTACCGATACGTTATCGGTTAACTGATAACTAGACAAGTTACCTGGAAAAAGTAACGAGTAACTTTCCACCCCTAATAATGACCATAAATTAGTTATCATAGTGGTTGTGTACTCATACACACACGCAATAGCAACTGTATGTAGCAATAGAGAAAAACGATAAGTGATGAAATTCTGTTAGGAAAAGTATAGAAAGAAAGAAAAAAAGAAAACAAGTAATGTGGATTGTATTATTAATAGGCACAAAGAGACAGGGTGAAGGAGATAGTAATATGCATGATGAACGTAAACAAAGGTTGACGACACTGATACTACAATAAAGACGCGTATGGCATTTTCAGAAGTTTAATGAGAAGAAAAGAAAATAGATCAATAGAAGATCTAATCTATGTTTGCATAAATAAACCGAGATTAATTTTGAAAATTTCCCCAGATGTTAATGAATTTTCAAAAATTTCCCCCGACGGCCGTCGGCGCACACGGGTAGATGCTGCACCGCTGGTTATTGCTATTCGAATTTCGATTAAAAATCGATAAGAAGATCAAATTCAAGTCCATTCCACAAATACAACTGTTTGTACATTTTCGTTCACTATCAACTTGATAATATTAGGTATCAATAATGGTTGGCTTGTTTGTTTTAGATCAGTATCTATATGAAAAAAACATTCTTTTGAGCAACAGTATTCACTTGAGATCAATCTTGCTTATCCAAATGATTCATCGCGTACAAATTTCGATGTTACTAATTCAAATATAAGAAAAATTATATTATGTTAGTTATTTGTTTAGTATAATTTTCTTTGTTTTAAATGATAGCTGAAAATAAAATTATATAAAAGACAACCTATGCCATAAATATTAGTAGATAATAAATCAATAGTAGTTAAAGCTTAACCACCATCTACAATGTCATTAAACTGTTTTATTATAGGTTTTTATTCAAATTATACTTCCAGCTCTAATGAATCAACTTGCAAGTGGAGAAGTAAGAAGTTATTCATCATCAAGTCTACATGTAAAAATTGGAATAAATTAGAAGCTAAAAGAAAAAGATAATGAGGATCCTATTCGTGATGCAAATTCATAAGTTATTCTTTTTGTCTGACTTTGTATTTTAATATGTTTTTTGTATTAGGAAATAATTTAATTATTAGTTTTTAGTATAAAACTGGTAGTATATGCTTTAATGTGAATTGAAAGAAAATATCTAAAGGTTGTTGAGTTACTTGCGAGTCATCCGATGTCAGTCTACTCATTCTTTTGTTATATTATTGTGTTGACTCTCTTTCGTTTAAGACATAGAATGGAAAAAGTATGATTTATAGACACGATCGATAAAAATTATATGAAAATAATAAATTTATTCATTATTCAACAAGTGAAATTTTTTTCCATAGATAATCACAGATATGTTTAATATGATATTAAAAGACTTTATCTTTCTTATATACATATGTGTTTTCTTTGTGGTTAAATAGTGCAGTTCTATAATCTTTGTTTTCATACTTCTCTGGACTTGATTTTATATATTAAATATTTCCATACTATTCACATTAACTATAGCATTTGCTTCGACGTAGTAATACGCATGGAATCTTTATGGTCGAATTAATATTGCAGTGGTAGGTGGTACTACGATTAAAGTTTTCACTTTTTCATATTTCTAAACTATATTAATTCTTTCTTATTAATAAAAAAAAAATAATTAATTATTATTGAAACAGCTATTTAATTTTCATTTATTATGAAATAGAAAAATATATTTTATGTTTGAAAAAAAAAATATTGTGTTTTAATCAAGTTGTTCAATTGTTGGACCATTACTGTGTGATTTCGATGTACGTTCAGCAAATTGTTCATTACTGTAAAGTTTTGTCATGATTGGCAAGCAAAGTTTTTCAATTTCTTTCAATTTATGTTCAAATTCATCTTTCTCAGCTAATTGATTTGTTTCAATCCATTTTAATGTTGATTCAATAACTTCATTCATTTTTGTTTTATCACTAGTTGAAAGTTTTGATGAAATTTTATCATCATGAATATTATTTTTCATATTAAAACAATATGATTCAAGTGAATTTCTTGCTAAAATATGTTCCTGTTGTGCTTGATCTTCTTTTTTATATTTTTCAGCATCTTTAACCATACGCTCAATTTCTTCTGATGATAAACGATTTTGATCATTACGAATTTGTATCTTTTTTTTTCATTGCCAGATGATTTTTCAACTGCAGATACATGCAATACACCATTCAAATCAATATCAAATGTAACTTCAATTTGTGGTACATGACTCGGTGCAGTTGGAATACCAGTTAATATGGAATTTCATAATAGATGATTATCTTTTGTCATTGTACGTTCACTCTCGAAAATTTTAATATCAACACTAGATTGATTATCTGAATAAGTACTGAATGATTGCGTTTGTTTAATCATCATCGATGAATTTCGTTTGATTCATGTTGTCATAACGCCACCAGCTGTTTCAATATCCTAAATAAGAATTAATAAAATTTTGTTTACTTTATTTTTCAAAGTTTCTTATCAATGATAATGGCAAAACGTCTAGAAGAAGTACATCTTTAGCTTCTTCGGATTTGTCACCTTTTAAAATAGCTGCTTGAACAGCTGCACCATATGCTACGGCTTCATCAGGATTGATTGATTTATTCAATTCTTTTTCATTAAAGAAGTTTTGTAATAGTATTTTTACTTTTGGAATTCGTTTTGAACCACCAACAAGTACAATTTCATCAATCTTTGATTTATCCATTCTTGTATCACGTAAAGAATTTTCCACTGGTTCAAGTTTTGCACGAAATAGATCAACACATAATTTTTCGAATCGTCCTCTTGTTGTTGATGTATGAAAATCAATACCTTTATGAAAAGCATCAATTTCAATTGTTGTTTCAGCTGATGTTGACAATGTGCGCTGTTAAAGAAAAGAAACAAAACATCAAATTATTTAACTTTTTCTAATACAAAATTAATTTTATACTTATTTTCGCTCGTTTACATGCTGTAGTAATCGTCGTAGAGCACGTGAATTTTGTGATATATCCTTATTGGTTTTTCTTTTAAATTCTTGTAGAAAACGTGTTACCATTCGACTATCAAAATCTTCACCACTCAAATGTGTATCACCGACTGTTGATTTGACTTCAAAAACATCATTATCAATAACAATTATAGATACATCAAATGTACCACCGCCCAAATCAAATATAAGAACATTTTTCTCACTTGTTATTCTTTTATCTAAACCGTAAGCTATTGCTGCTGCTGTTGGTTCATTTATTATTCGTAAGATTTTAAGAGCAGCAATAACACCAGCATCTGATACTCTTTTACCGAGATAAGCTTCAGCAGTTTCTTTCATTTTTGTTAATACCATCGATGAAATTTCTTCTTGTATAAATAATTTTTTTTCAGTCTTATAATCAACTTGAATTTTTGGCTTTCCATTATAACTAACTACTTTAAATGGTCAATGTTTCATATCCGATTGTACACTTGCATCATTGAATTTACGACCAATAAGTCGTTTAGCATCAAATACTGTATTGTTTGGATTCAAAACAACTTGATTTTTAGCTGCATCGCCAATCAAACGTTCACTATCTGTAAATGCCACGTAGAAAGGTGTAGTTCGATTACCCTGATCATTTGCAATAATTTCTACTTTTCCATGTTGAAATACACCAACACACTAGTAGAGAAAAAATAAGAAAGAAAAATTATTCAAGTAAGAATAACAAAATAAATTATGAATAACATACTGAATATGTTGTGCATAAATTAATGCTAACTGCACGAGCCATTTGTGTTTGATAAAATGAAATGTTTTGATCGATAAATTGTGTTGCTTGTGCATTTTAAACAAAGGTTTTATATGATAGAAATGCATTAGTTCTTGAACAATCGAGAAGATTCTAGTAGTGACCAGAAGAATATTAGAAAATTAGGGAAAGAAAAACGAATGTAAAAGATGTGTCATTAATGATGAATGTAGCAGATGATGGAAAATTTCAAAATTTATGCATGCGTAATGATTCGTGCTAACCATTCATCGATTCGATAGACGAGTGACATACACCTTAGACAAGCGATATCTTTCTTAATTAAAGTTTTGTGTTATATTTGAAAAATTTATACAAAATTTCTTTTTTGTTATGATTTAGAAGATAGAACAATAATTTTTAGTTACGACTCAGCATTCTTATGATTAATTTGTACGAAAATGGCTAATCATTTTCGTATTACTGGAGAAGCATGATTATTATATGTAAAGCTTTATATTCATCAATTTCAGATTTGCAGTTTTTATGAAAACTTGAATCAAACTGTTATTGAAAATCAATATTGCATCTAAACATTGATTATCAATGTCTCGTCAACTGAAAGAATGAATCAATTTCACTTATTGTAATTGTTGATTTCTAATGCAAGTTTTCCCTGAGCTTAAAGTAACGTGTGGATGGTTTTTTCGATTTGAATCAGCATGAATGTAGGTATGACATGGATTTCGATGCCATTTTTTAGATAGAGAAGATTTATATCGGTGCTGACACTCGATTTTAGGTGAGAGAGAAATTAAAAAAGGTTAGAATTTATTGTTTTAACTAGCTCTCAAGTAATCATGAAGGATTGATTGATCTCTTTATCGTATTGGACAAGTTTCTACAAAGCCGTATTACACTTTCCACTTAATAGAAATAATAATATTTGGTACTTTAAATCTTCGCTTCAAATATGAGAAAAAAAATGATTTAAATCTTATTTGGAATAATATTGTGTAGACTTCTCAAAAGTATATTCTTTAGTGTAGAATACTTTGAATTTTGTATGTATATGCTTCTCATAACGAAATGAATAGTAGTTTTCCTACTATTCAAAACGACTAATTATAGAAAAGCACTGTACAAAAAAAATCTCACAATTATGGATATACTTTGAAGAAATTCTAAATGATATTATTCCAAATAATTGTTATTTTATGTTCTTCTACTTACGATAAAAGCTTTGGAATTCGAAACATTTCTATTTTTTTAGATACAATAGAAGATGTAATGTAATTTTGCGACTAATGAATCTTATAATATAGAGGTTAGCAAGAAAACATATGTAATTGTAGGAAAAAGTACGCATATGTATGATTAGAATATTACTCGTACATTCAATATATATCAACAACGTTAAGGAGAAGTTGATCAATAAAGAAATTGATATAAACTCTTCAACAAACAAAGAACTACTAATAAAAAGAGAATGAATGCATTTGAATATATGTTAATTCTTGCGACAGAATATTCAATAAGAAATAGGTTCGTGCTAGAGAAAGATTTATCTAGAACTGCTTCATCAGAAAACAATTAGCTTTATTGATTTCGAGATACTCATCATATATCAAAATTTGAGTACTTACAGGAATAGACCTGCATATATATGTAAAATATTTAAAGAGTTTTCTCTTCTATCCTTATATAGTTTTTATTACATGGATTACAATATAGACACATTATTATAGATATTTTCCTCTATTTCTATTAATTGACAATTAAAGAGAAAAAGGAATTCTATTAAATAATAAATTTTATTTTATCCTAACAAAGAACTAAAACTTTTTAATGAATACTTGTTTTCTTCAGCATCATACTGTGTGAAAACCTATTTAGTCATAGAAACATGTTTTGGTGTGTAAAATTTCGAAAAACAATTACAGGTTGATATTGCATGATAACAATGTTTAAACGTGTTTTATAGAAGACTTTTTTCATCAAAAATTATATGAGAATAAAATATTGAGTAAATTTGTTTGCAGTAAAATGATTTTAAACAATCGAGAGTTATCTTTGTCAACATATCTATATTATTTTTGAAAGCATTCAAATGTTCATTAGTACTCTGCATGGACACTTGTCAGCAAACAGGATAATTGGAGACATGCCCATTCACAAAATAGTTTCATAAGAAATTAAATTCGAAACGTTTTTGATTGGAAATATTCTTGAACATTGTAAAGAAATTATTAATTCTAATCATGTGACAAGGGTTTTGATGTAGATCTTTCGCTTACCAAGGATAGTCGCCGCCACGCTCACATTCAGATATATTTGCTATTTGCTTCCGTGTACTTTGCATCGGAGTATAAGAGAAACAAAGAAGTAAACTTTCGAACACATTTCTCTTCTCATCGCTTTCAATCTATTCAACGATGTTACGCCAAGATACAGAAAATGATTTCGATGCACTTTACCCAATTTATATGCATCCAATAGTGAATACATATTTGAGTTTCGAAATAATGAATAAAGATCTATTTAAACCAATATTTAATGAATGAAGCCCCCTCCCCCTCAGAAATTCCATTTTTTCGAAGATGAGTCGAAATTGAAGTTTTATCATAGAAAGATGCACCGAAATCTCCTCTTTCAGAATATCTGTCGTTAATCAAAAAATAAATTGATTTTGACGAACTTATTGTCTAAAACTTGGCTCCTACTATCGTATTTTTCGAAAAATTTTCAGATTCTTTTTCTAAGCTTTTTCGACTTTTTAGGCTGCTTTCTCTTTTCATCAGTCTTTCGTGCAGCTTTTTTCTATACTAATTACTAGGAGACTGTGAATACTTAATATTAAGATCACAAATTTACATCCTGTATTAAGGGTGGGTATGGGGGTAGGGGTGGTTGTTGGTATGGGTGTCGACAGCTCTACAAGAATTACCTACACCCACACCCGCCACCCACACCACACACCCACACCCACACTCACATACCCTCCATCACTTGTATCTCAATTGCCTCGAAAAAAGCTGTTCAAAGGAAATGTCATATATGCTCTCATACAACAAGATGTAGAAAATCAGTCAAATAGACGAGATATCAATGTGAGGAATGCAATGTTGGATTGTGCCAAATTGATTGTTTCAAAGTTTATCATACCCAAAACCACTTTTTATAATGATTTTTGATTGAATAAACATCTATTTTTCACTTATATAATAAAGTTTATTTTTTCAAAAAGAACTCCGAAACCAAAGGGTTAAAGATCAACACTTATCCAATTGTTCAGCAGCGTAGTCAAATTTTCTGCGTATATTACATAATCTATTTAAGCCTATACTCATTCAAAGCGAAACAAAAAGTAAAATATGTTTTATCAATAGATGAGGAATTTTATATTCTATGCTTCCATGACCTGTCCAAGGCGCGCAGTACTGTTTTTTTTTCAATAAAAACAAAAGGATTTCCAACCAAAGTCAAGTATTATTTTTGAATTCATGAGGAAAAGGATTGTTTTCCAAAGCCATGCTTATTATGCGAAACGTTGATTGTCATGGTGTCTGATACAAAATTCAATTTTGAGCTACATGATGTTAATGTTTCCTTGAGCAATTGAACCAACGGGGAAAGATCTCATTCCGAGCTATTCGAATGACCCGGAATGGTTTGGAATATCCGAATGAGATTTTTTCCTCTTGTGCAAACAGATGATAGAGAACAAGAAAAGAAACATCTATTCTTCTAGATAATTAATTAGTGAAAATGAGATTTATCCAAGCATGGCCAAGATTCTCAAATAAACTCTCGTCAAACACTGCTCGATGTTGGTTCTGGCAGGTGAAATTAGGATTGTTGAATTAATAGGATCGAGAGTGTTATATATGAAAAGAACGATGTAGCTAGACAAAAGAATAGATATTTAAGAACAGTGTCATTGATTCTAAATACATAATGTTTTCGAATTCTAAGATTGTTCATTGTTTCGATCTCGATCCTCACCATTTTTCATTGTAGTAGCAACCAAAAGTCTATAGACTTATTCTTTACTATAAAGGTATGGTTAGTTAGAATATATTTTATATTATAGTCTCGCTAAACAGCAATTCTCATTGTGCTCCTTTCCAAAAGTGGCATGAGCAGATTGAATAATGCCAGATGAATATAATGAACTATATTTTATGTGACGAGAAATATCAACGTCACCTCTTTAGGTATATGAATCTTGTGAGTGGTTTCTTCTTATATGATCACTGTTTTTCCACTACCTTGCCCATAGAAATATGTACTGTAATTGAATGACACAGCTTGTTGTGTGTGTGAAAAGGTCAAATAAAGTGAAGTCTGACGTATACAACATAGTAGGAGCAATGAGAGAGAAAGATAGAGACGCGTCAGATAGAAATATGTACAATTGCAGCCAGAGCCGAAAAGACTACTCCAGTACCCATTATCAAGTGCTTTCATAAAAAAAAGCTTGACTGGGAATGGGATCTTATACTACAAAATAGTTGAAGTTCAGCATCACTTCACTAATTCTCTTTCGAAATTTTATGTTGAGCTGAGATTAAAAAAAAATTTATTTGCTCACCTCTAATATTAGATGACTTTTTGAATTTGAAAAAAGGATTGAAGTTAGCAAGTTGTTGGTTGATGAGTTTATTTTTTTTTCTTTCAATTTCATCCTTAATGACCCTTTGTCTATTCTCCTACTGTCTACGCCTATTAGCTTTATTCATTCTCTTTTTTGTTTGATACATAAGTAGTAATAAATATATAACAAGGCCATATTATTGATAGAGTCATGATTATTATCGTTCTTTTTTGCCACATGTAGTGTATTCTATTCATTTATTCTCTTTCATAATTATTCTTTGGTAAAGCACGATAAATACATATTTGATAGAAAATGATATCTTTCATAGTTGGTGATGGGTAAGAATGCACGAAGAAAAAAAACAAATCGAAATTCACTGTAAACTGATCTAGGTATGAAGACTATAGTTAAAAATGTATATTAGATAGACATGAAATTGATAATACATGTTTTCGCTCATTCAGATGAGTATCTAGTCGAAAATGCATTTACACACGACAAATTTCAGTAAATGAAAACTGTTTTAATTTCTTTTCCTATTTAATCTACTTTAAAATGTTAGAACAAGATCCAAAGTTTCTCTTCAGGTTTTTCTGTGTACAACTGCTATATATATGTTGAATATTTCAAAAATTTTCTAATGTGTCCTTGCCTTTCCATAGTCTACGGATATCGATATACACACAGCAACAACTAATGATGTCTTGTCGAATAATCATGTAGTATATATGAATAGTATTCGATTTTCTAATTGTAATTTTCTCCGTGTTCATCACAACGCAACTTTGACAAAAATATTATAAAAAGAAATAAACAAATCTTACCTGAAGAAATACAGAATAGAGTGCATAAGAACGTTATATTTGTTTTAAATATGTTTTAATAGTAACAATAAACTGAAAAAGACGCTGTCATTATACTCTAAATAGTTTTTTAGTAGATTGTATGTCTTTATACGGAAAACATCTTTAACACATTCGATCCGATGAGTCTCACTATATTTTAACAAAAATCTTAGTAGAAAAACACTTTCTTTTCCTTTATTTTCTTAGGCAGGAGGTTACACGTAAGGTGTCTTCTACTTTGTTGAAGTTATTTATTGCATAGCATGATACTTCACATTAGAATTTGACATCGAAATTTGATTCTATTTGATTCTATACTTGTAAATCTACGTCATCGTCATCAGCAATTTCTTCCTCGGAACTTGACGATTCAAATCTCATGTGACCAAAACCAATGCCCAAATCACTCATTCCACACAGTGAAGTATCACTGTCGCTGTCTATAATTCATAGCAAAATTTATCTGAAAAACAACACAAATATACGTATCTTAACGTCATAAAAGGAGTTTATATAGGTTCAAAAGGTATCAATGGCACATGTTTTGCATCGGAGTCATATGGTCCGCAGGAATTACATAGTAGATTGCAATAGAATTAGAATATGATAGAAAGTATCGTAGGGATAATCAAATAACGACCACTTTCTCGCTCTATCTTCTTTCCTTTTTTTGTCAAAGAAAAAACAGTTCTTTTTAGACACACGTGAGAATAGAGTCCAAGAGACGACAAGAGAAAAAGAAGCCGGAATTTCATCTTTTCTATCTCATTCTAACTGCATAATACGCGAGAGAAAGACAAACAACAAAGTTGATAAATTATACAGTTCCTCGAGAAAGGGAACTGTCCATGTGCTGTTGTAACAAACAGAAAAGAGAAAATAACGAATCAGCACAGAATGCAAAGACCAATGAGTGCACACGAATCTTTCAAGAAGCATGCCATAGCACACATATCGTACTTTATAAATATTAGGTTTTCAGATCTAGATCACTTGCTATGATGTCATTGGCTGCATTACGTACGGCTAGTCGTCGAGTTTTTCATGGTACCATCTCTCGCCGCATAAACGCTACTAGCTCATCTAAAAATGTGTGTCGACTAGAATCTTATTTGCCCAAACGTACTCCGCACGCAAACACACAAATGTCCAGACCTCAATTTACACATGATCAACGCAACAATTACAGAGGTATGGTGAGTTACATACATCAAACTCTTATTCCATTTTTAGTAAGGTTACTCATAGACTAGCGAGTCGAACTTGCATTGCATTCAAGACACTATGATGGAGAAAACTTTGGAGAAATTTAGCTTTCGTAATTCTTATCATTGACCTTTAAAAATACAGGATGAGCCAAAAGTCTTGATCGTTCTCAGAAAAATGGCTCGTTCTCCCTTATTACAAATCCAAAAATTCTCAAAATTGGGTATATAATCCCTTGCTATAAGATAAATACTATCTTAAGTTTTCAGATCTCTAGTCCTTATTATAGAGGAGATATATAGGATCATATGATAAAGAAGGTTTTTTTCCTACGTCCTAAAATCGAAATAGTGAATGTCTATATAAAAGGAAGAGAGAACAAATATTAGAATGAGGAAATATTAACGGAGTTTTAACGAATTGAATTATGTCCGAAGATTAATTAGATGTTGGTAGTGTATTTATTTAATCGATCCCAATATGCATTAGAAAAAAATCGATGAGATATTTCATGATCATATTAAACCCAAAGAGCAAGCTGATAAAATGCCTGATATATGGCCAATTCAAAATATTTGGGGTTATATCAAAGGGAAAATACAAGAAGAAGAAATTAAAGATATACCAATGTAGAAAAGCAAAATTGTGGAGATTTGACAAAAAGATCAGTCCACAAACGTATTCAACATGGATAAATTCAATACCAAGAAGATTACAATGTTTAATCCACAAAAAAAGGTTATCAAGTCAACAAAAATGACTATAATGATAGATAAAAATGTAAAAATTCTCCTGTTTGCTATTGTATTAGTAGTAAAAATTAATTATTCAAGATATTTCTTTTGAATAAAATTTTTTTACATATTTTTTTGGACATCGGAAAAAATCCTTCTTTATCATATTATCCTATATATCTTCCCTATACTAAGGACTAGAAATCTGAAAATTTAGATTAATATTCATCTTATAGCAAGGGATTACATCTCCAATTTTGAGCTTTTTTGAATTTGTAATAAGAGAGAACGAGCAATTTTTCTGAGAACGACCAAGGTGGCTCTCTTATCTGTTTTTTTTACAAGGATGAATCTTGTAGGTCCTCGATATTTCGAGCAGATCTCTATCTTGCATGCTTTTCCAACAAAATTTTTCAATTTTTTACTATTCATACTTATGTAGGACTCTCTGCTCTAATCGGTATCGGCGTCGTCTGCATGGGTTCCATTTTCTTTTCATGGAAAAAACACGAAGACAAAACGAAAACAGAAGATGAACATCACAAGCCGGCTAACGCTAATTTGGCTGATACGGGGACGAATACTGCGTCGACTGTAGACCAGAATCCTTCGAACTCAGCACTCAATCCACAAGCTTCAGGCACATCAAAACAGTCCATAGATCTTCATGATATAGAATCTTATCAACATCCAATAGTATTTCCTCCACATATGCCTCCTCCGATTGTTCATGATGGTCCAGTGCGAGTATGCATTGATATGGATACTTACATTCGTACGAAGCCTATTGATGAAGATTCATGTTTTGACTGGTGGACTTACAATGGTGGATCACCTGGACCAATCATTCGAATACGCCTTGGTGATGTTCTAGAAGTCCATTTTACCAACAAAGATCAAACTGGTATGCAACATAATATTGATTTCCATGCTATCGAAGGTCCAGGTGGTGGATCTTCATTATTGACTGTCGAACAAGGACAGAAGAAAATTGCTCTATTCAAGCCGTTACGTGCTGGCCTATTTCTCTATCATTGCGCTATGGCACCTGCTCCCGTACACTTAGCTCAGGGAATGTACGGATGTGTGTTAGTAGAGCCCGAGGGTGGATTACAGCCTCCAGCACAGAGAGAATATTGTATTGTCCAAGCTGAATTATACACAAGTGAGAGAATAGATGAAAAAGAGCCGGTTGTGTACATAGGTCCGGATGAAGCAGAAAACAGAGAGAAAATAGAAAATGAACTCAAAGGGTTAACTCGATTGGACATGGATGTCGAAGCAGGCGTACTCGAGAAAGCTACCCATGTATTGTTCAATGGTATAAAAGGAGCAGAAGGTTATACTTTTCCTGAACATACTAATACGAGTATTGAGCTAGCCAAGGATGCTTTACTAGCCAAACCAGGCGATAATATCCGTATTTTCTTTGTGAATGCTGGACCAAACTTAGTATCTTCTTTTCATATTATCGGTGGATGTTGGGATAGAGTATGGCGAGAAGCGGATCTCGTCTCAGCACCAGCACAGTGGGTACAGACGACACTGGTACCTGCAGGTGGCTGTGCTGTGGTAGATTTTCAGCCTCATGTACCAGGAACATATACTATGGTCGATCATTCACTCTTTAGAATTGAAAAAGGAGCAATTAAATTCATCCATGTGAAAGGTGATCCACTCAGTCGACGTGATCTCTATGCTAGCGGTAGTGGACATGGCCTTAAAAATTGTGATGCATGCAAGTTGCATCCCAAGTGATTGACGTCTAGTGAACAGCGTAAGAATTTTGGTATCATCTTTTGTCTACTATACGACTAATTTTTGCCTTGTTTGTTCAAACAGTATTTGTTCTCTATTACAATAATACTCATGTATCTGCTCTATCACATGCTTATTTCCTCTCTTTGTTGCTTGACTGTTTGTTTCTTTTTCTTTTAAATTTCTGTCTCATTTCAGTTTATTTGTTAGCAGTGACTTTTTAAGTCATCGTTGATGTCATTATGTTAATTTGCTCTTTTGATTAAAGAATTATTTAAGCAAACAAAGTTTTTTGTACTATTTTTAAAAGTGTCATGTTGGATGAATGACATTCTGCATCAGCGTATAAAATTTTCCTACAGTAATTATCATGTGAAAGTACAATTAATACTTCATTTTATTTTCGAAGTACAGAGAAGACAAAATATTATTATTAAGATAGCGAAAGCTGCAATCGTTTTGTTCATGCAAGACGACTGTAACGGGTGTTAAATTCCATCAATCATACTATGAGAAAATGATTGATTCTTCAAAATGGATTGACAAACTTGTTCTTCTTAGCCTCAGACATTTTTTTCTCCAATTAAAAGAAATGTCCGTAATCAAAAGAACACAGTGAACACATGTTTATATGTTTTAAGATTAATTCGAAAGGAAAAAACCAATAGAGATACACCGGCTGGAGTTTTCTTTTCAGTGTGGATCAATCTGATCGAGTCGCGATCTAAAGAAATCTATTTCTGAATTTATTCGTATCATATCCATAAACAAATTTCTTAAATACTCGTTTTTTGATTTATTGAGNAGAAAGAACAACTGCTCAAGTTGATGCGAAGAGTGTCGACCTTGGTCGTATGGCGGAGCATCTCTCACAGCATCAACAGAAGCAATTTCTCTTTTTAGATCAGACACCCAGGTGACAATCATACGATTGATATAATCATGATAGTCCTCGTATGTTGTCAATGAAACTTTCTTCTTAATTTTATCAATTGATTTGTATTTTTCTTCTCAAGAAGAAGATACATGTGTTGACAAGAATGAAATAGATCCACCCTTGAAGAAAGCACCCGAATGATTTTTTTTTTGAACAACCTCTCTCAACAGCTCACTGATAATCGTCTGTAGATTGCAAAGCGAATTTTGAAAATTTTGTCACTTTTTTACGCTATTGAACGACACTCCAGTAAAAGGAAAACTCTCGAGGTATTTTTAACTGATTTGGCTAACTCCCGCATTCCATGTAACATTCGACTGTAGGCACTTGAAATGAATAGAGCAATCAATACTTAAAGATTTTGTGAAAGCCAATGTTAAAACAAATTCTTGCGAAGAATCGATGAGTTGTATTAACTTGTTAAAATTGTTATATAACTTCATTCAAAAGAATTACGTTACATAATGTTAATATGCAATTCACAGGGGTTCTTGGTATTCAGTAATAAAGAATTAGTTTATATTGAATAAGATAAATCAAAAATTATAGATTCGAGTATCGATAAATTTGTGATGAGTAAAGAAAAATATATTATAGGAGCTCATATATGACGTTGTGAATTTGGAAGTTCGCATATAAAATGGATGAATATCGTTGACATCGATAGGTTTGATGACGATATATTTATATACGATCTTTTGAAGTACCTGGTCCGGTTGTTGTTCTTGTTTTCCTCTGTCACTCTATGCAAAAGAAGAATTAAGTGAATCAAACAATGTGATAGTTTTGTATGTTATGCGATACGTATTTTTAATAGGTGTAATTTTTAGTAAAGATTCCTTCGGTCGTTTACGTATTAGTTAATGTCGAGCATTATGATCATTACGGTTACCGACGATCAGCTTAATATGATCAACTGTTTTGTTTTTGACGATAGAACGTCAAATTTTATGTATGTATCGGTCAGATGATTCTAATCGTTCTTCATGAGTATAATGAACAATTAATTTATTTCCATGAACTGTATGTTAGATTCTTCGAGTTCTCGTGATTTTTTATTATCTTGATCGTTATCGATATCACGTGTAGCTGCACTCACAGCTACTTGTGATTGTCGAGATTTTCATTGACCCAAAAACTTATCATGCATAAGAAAAAAATACTTGTCATCTATAATTGACAATCAAAATAACGATGAAAACATACAGGATGCCACAAGTCAGCTACTGAAAAAAATTGTATATCTCGCTGATGGTTTTAGTGAATGAGTTGGTTTTTGTACTGTTGATATAAGACACCCCTAAGTTTTTATTCATATAGAAAATGTTTGATTGCAGAAATTTTGATCAGCTTAAACACGAGCAACTATGATACGCTTCAATCTTGTTTCCCATTAATCTACATTTAATAATATTGTCGATAAAATTCCAAAGACGAAGAAGGTTTTACTGTCCCAAGGATTCAAATCGAAAAAACAACAGTTTTGTCCAATATCGGATAATAAAATTCATTTTATGTAAAGAATTCTCTATCTAACACGTTTTATTACACTTTCAATTCCAGTAATTGTAGCAGTTCGAAAAATCGAGAAAAACCAAAGAAAAACTCATCCGTATCTGAAAATTTTGGTAGACAGCCAAGAAGGTGTTAGCTTTATTTTTAGTCACATCACATCTTTGTTTCTAGTTCACAATAAAAAAAACCGTCTTTAAGAAATCATAGTTGATTGTCTATGATTTTAACTCAAATGTCACTTGATTTGATCACAAATAGTATAAAAGCAATGATTTCTTATTAGTCATGTAAAGAGGCTAATAAACTAAAACTCATACATGCATTGACATTTAACAAGCGACGCGCCGTATTCTCTCTCGATAAAAATGACATTTCTAGAAGATACTATAATAACAACTATATGCATTACTTTTTTTTTGTTATTAGCCTGCACTTCAGTCGTCAAATCAAATTGCTAACACGAACACATACTCTGTGTTTACCAAACGCTATAGAGCAGAACTCAGCACAATGATACTATTGATCATGATTGGTTTCTTGCTTAGCTTTGATTTTTTTAATGTTTGTTATAAAAATAAATTGCCTATTTCTATGTTCTGGATTCAAGCCAAATGTCACTGTAAAGATTTGTTTTTCCTCTAGAATTGGTTATCAATATCTATCTTCATACCAACAACAACTGTTCTTTAACCCATACATGGATTCAAATATTCTATTGATAATAAATTACTGCCGGAACAATTCTTAAAATGGTTCAGAGAAAAGTGATTACTATGGAACGTATTGTAGCATACCCGAATCTCGTTCCTATCCTCAAATAGGTCATTTGGGGCCACGTTGTAATTTAAAATACGATGATTGTAATTCGAATCCGTGGTGGAGCAATGAAAGTTATTTTTTAGTTATGATTGAAGTGTCGAAAATCCCTACATGTGTAACTATTTCCTTTGGCTTATCACATCAATAGTATTGAACCAAAGTGCACTACACCAATCGTTAAAATTTTTGTAAAAGCATGAGCTTATATAAATAGAAAATATTCTAAGCATAATGATAGTCTAGATATGACTTATTCTGCAACAATTATGATCAATAATGTTATGATTGAATACTTGAATAGTTGCACTTCAAGTATTCAATAATTGAATTCAAGTTTCAAGTTTGACACTACTGACAAACTCCTAATAAATCGAAAATGGGAAAGCACTTTTAAAAACGTATAAATTCAAAAAGGTAGTTCCAGAAGTATCGTGAACAGGAGCGGGAAAGGGACCTTTTCTAATGGTGAAAAATTGTCGTTTTTACCCAGCAAGAGTTTGCCGAAAATATCGACATCACTTCCCAATCCTGACCTTCTCACGACAGATCTATTTAGCCTTGTAGATCTGATTATTGGGTGCTATAATTTATTATTCATTTTGAAAGAGCACACAATGAACTTTCTAACATATGAATCCTTCATAGATGTAATTTTATATTGCAATGGAGTGTACATGACCATACGCAGACATGTATTCTTTTTTGCACTACATATATGTTCGCTGTTCGAAAGCGAGCAAACAATTACAATGAAACAATTGCTTTGATAGTTGTAGTGGTTTATGGATAATTTGAAACAAAATTATATGAAAAAAATATTTTCTATGTAAACTATTGATTGTATTGATCGATACTCAGAGATATTTCAAGAACGAAATCATATATTTCTTGTAAGACTTTCTTGCACAAAAGATAAAATATTAGTATAGTCCTCAAAGTTAGTAATATTTAAGTTCAGAACAGAGTAGAAAACATGCTTCAGAATACTTGAGCAGCTGGTACACCCGACCAGTTCGTGTTGAATGGCAGTTGATCATTTTTTAGTACTAGTGTGCATGGCAAAAGTTGATTTCGCCCATGTAGAATTGATCCAGGAAGCAAATTTGAGCAGCTCATAAGTATACATGAATGATTCACAGAGACAGGTGCTAATTTGAACGAACGTTGTTCAAATGTGTGACACTATGAACAATACGTTAATATGATTAGAGTTCCAAAAATTACTTACCTGAATGGAAGTATCTGCGCCTACACGAACATGATCGCCAATAGTCACTAGATGAGGCTCTGTCAGACAAGCGATATCTGGCAAGATGACATCACATCCAATTTGAGCACCAAGTGCACGGAAAAGAAAGACAAGATATTGTGATCCCGATAGAAATGGACAGATGAAAAGATAGAATTCGAGTACGAATCGAGTCATATATTTTCGCGCGAAAACGATGCATTTCGAAACGATAGATGTTGCGTTCTTCAGTTCTTTCACTTGAAAATAGTGATAAGCTGCGCAGTAAAAAATTGTATGGAGAACTAACGCCATCGGCAATGGTACCGATGTGTATAGAACGATCACAAGACATTTGCTAAACACGACAATGAGACAAGTACGTGCAAAAGAAAAGTAAGGTGTTGAGTTAAAGGATGATAGATCATTGGTTGGCAACATGTTAGGCATCATAAAGGGCATTCGTTGAGCTGGAATACCGAGCCATACTACAGGATCCTTGCTTGCCGTTTCTCTTGTGACTCTAGTCAGATTACCGATTATTGTATTACATGACAATCGTGTGCCTGGCATAAGTGTACATCTATTGGCAAGATTGGTTCCCGATCCGAGAGAGATGTAATCTAAAGAACAATCACCTTCATTTGTTATTTCGAATGGAGCAAGCATAACATAGCCAAATGTTGACACCCCATGTTCAATTCTTAAAAGATTCGATGGATATCGTAAAATTGGTATGATATGAGCTATTTTTACATCATCGTCAACATGGGCACCCAGCCAACGAAGCACAGCTACTGAAAATTCCTCATAACGAGGTAAGAATTCGAATGCCTGGTAAAATGAAGTTATAATGAGTTGTCGTAACCATATTTTATGAAGATAATAGTAGGAATTAAATGAACAATGTTTTGGATGAATAGAGCCTATGACAAATTTCATTGCAAGTAAGGCAATGGATAAACTTGCCAAAAGCCAGAATACCCAGCACAATACTAAACTCAAGATCATCGACAGATTAAAAGTTGAGCAATAGTAATAGACACAATGAGTCATATTCAAAAGAAAAATATGAACAGATAAAACACTCAAAAGACAAGTGCATTGATAAATAACTTGATCCCATGATAAACATTGGTCTTTACTAGTTTTCGAGTCGATTGAAGATGAAATATGACCCGTTATCGCTGACATGGGTTTGATATGAGTATTGTTTTGTATGTTGACTCCACCGTAAAGAATACTACGTGTTTCTATCAAGCAGTGGCATCCAATGAGAATTGGATGAAGTTCGTATGTTTGACCATAATAGGACAGACTGACAAGTCTAGTCTCGCTGGCAATAATTGTCGAATCGCCAATATCAAGCATCCAAGGAGCATCAATAAGCGTTGTATTGATATGTGTACTGATACCTATTCGAGCACCACACAAGCGAAGATACACATTGTAAAGTGGCGTTCCTACAAGATGTTGCATCCAGTATGTGTTATTTATTGACCACAAGCGTTCCAAGAACCACCAACGATAATAACACAACGAATATAGCTCACCGCTTTTTTCTAACTGTTTATCTGATGAAAATAATAATTGTTGACATATCACATAGAGCAAAATATGAATGATCGGCACGAAAATAACGGCCCAGTAGCGGTCAGATTGTACAGCCCACCATATTGGGTATAGCCATTGACAGACAAGTAAAATAATGCCCAATGTTTCTATGCATAAGGATGGCATCGGACGATGGTCATTTTCTTCTGCTTGCAATAATGTTGATGTCACAGGCTTTTCTTGATGCACGACAAGAAGAGAGTCCAAGGCTTGAGCAAGTTCTCGAACTGAGGGATGAGCTAATAGGAAACCAAAGTGAAAATTTGAATATAACTGCTGCCGAATTAAGGTAACAGCAAGAATGGCGTCTAAAGAGGTACCGCCAAGCCGTGTAAAAGACATATTTATGTTAACGCATTCAATATGAAACGCTTGAGAAAAGATGGACACAAGACGCTCTTCAAGAGTAGTCATTGGTTTTGAACTAGAATCATCCTTTTTCGCCATCACTGTAAAATCAGGCGTAGGAAGGCGCTTTCGATCTACTTTTCCATTTGCGTTCAATGGAAACTTGTCTAGGAGTATAAAAATAGATGGAACCATGAATGGTGGTAGTCGAGAGCAACAATGATTGTACAGTTCCTCCTCATTCATATTGCTACCTTGTACATAGGCAACGAGATGATCACTGCCCCATTTTGTCACAACACAGGCAGAAATACTAGTACTCAGAAGACAGCCCTCAATCTCGCCTAACTCAATGCGCTGCCCTCGAAGTTTCACTTGATGATCTTTACGACCAATATAGTAAATAAGACCACTGCTGTCCATACGAACGAGATCACCAGTTCGGTAGAACATTTCGCCATCGATCACCAGAAGTGATTTTGATGTTAAATCCTCACGACCCAGATAGCCAGCAAACACACCCACACCACCTACACAAAGTTCACCTTCTTGATCGATAACAGTTGGTTGTAACAGGTCGTCAAGCACCAGGCAGAAATAGCCTGGTAGTGGCATTCCAATCGAAATGGTATTTACGCCAGTAGAAAAGTCGACAAGGTGAGAAGTAGAATCCAATGTTAATTCCGCTGGACCATATATATTCCAAAAGCTGCAGGAATGAGGCAAGATTTTTTTCAAATACTGAGCTACTTTGACGGTTAGTGCTTCACCTTAATTAAAGAGAGAAATTTAATTATAAATTACTTTGTTTTTGACAAAATACTGTACCGCCGCTAGACAATGACCGAAGCAATATCACATGATTACTAGAGTCATTCTCTTCCAAATATTTGAAAAGATTAGCGAGAAGTGATGGCACTGTATGTATATAGGTGACCTGTTTCTGTTTGCAGACTGTAGCGAGATATTCTGTACTCATGATTCCGTTTGGACGAAGCAACACGAGAGTTGCTCCAACCACATAACTTCCGAGTATATCTTGCATGTGAATATCGAAAGAACATGCAGCTACTTGCAACACTGTGTCACAGTTCAGCATAATGCCAACTTGCTGTAATGATTCTATATGTCTGCGAACATTTCTATGTCGAACTTTGGCCTACGAAAAGACTAAACAGCATTAAAAGAAACACCTTTTAACTTAAGGATTTACCGCTTTCGGTGTGCCTGTTGAGCCACTGGTGAAAATAACATATGCTAGATCGTCTGGTGTCACTTGTACATACGACAGGCACTCTTCATCATGATAGTTTAATTGACATTTCATCGTCAAACAATCATCGATGTTGACAAGAAGAGGAGTAGATACGAACAAATGATGCGTCATTGAATGAACAAGAGTCACACGACTATTAGTTTGTTCGATTAGTTTTTGCAATCGATCTACAGGATCTCTTGGTGACAATGGGCAATACACAGCACCAGCCATTTGTATTGCCATAATGCCGATGATCTAACAAGTCACAGAGATTGATATGAAAATTATGAGAATGTCGCAATCACTCACCATTGACATACTTCTCTCCACACATTGACAAATGATATCGCCAACCTTAACATCACATTTAGTTAGCAGATGAACGGCTAGTTGTTTAACATAAAAGAAAAGTTCACTGTATGTGAGACCTTGATCATCAAGTTCAATGGCCATCTTCTGAGGATCAGCTATAGCGCGTCGAGCAAAATCTCGGTGGATGCAGTCCAAGGGTAGAAAACGATTTGAAGGAGTTTTTAATAATTCTATAAGTTGTAATTCATTTGGTAATAATAACGATATCTCGAAGATTGGTTGTTGAAATCTATCATATGCTTGCGCAAAGATTTGCTTCCATATAGCCAGGAATCGTTGCGTTAATTTCTCGATTGTGATAATATCGAATAAATCGGTGGATGCATTAACACTGAGAGAAAGTTGTCCACTCTTACGATGATGGGTTATGTTAAATGATAGATCAAACTTGCTGACTACTTCGCTTGTACCGTTTTGCATTGAACATGAAGCAATTTTGAAGTGATCATGATTTAAATTGAAGAGATCATCAGTCACGGACTCTGAAAATGTATCGAAGTGGAAGGATATGTCTAAAAAAGTAGGCTTTGTAGATTTAGGATGCTGAGAGAGAATGCATTCAAGTGGGAAATACGAATTATCAGTGCTTTCGGTGAAAATTGTGTGCACTTGTGAGACAAATGAATGAACTGAACTATGAGGATCGATTTGACAGCGAAGGGGAATGGTGTTGACAAACGTTCCAATCAGAGAACATAACTCGCTTTTGTAGCGTCCAGGTGTATTCATGCCAACACATATGTCGTGTGTTCCATTGGTCAATTTGAACAAGAGAATGTAGTAACAAGCAAGTGCGAGGCATTCAGACGTGGTATTCAACGACGTAGCATAGTCAAGAAAGTTTCGTGAAAGATCTTCACCGAAATCGACAGAGACCGACTGACCACGTCCTGTTCGATGTTTGTCTGAGACACGGTGTCGATCAAATGGTAGTGGTAAAGTTTGATCGATGTCACATCCTCGCAATGTAGTTAGCCAAAACTCCATGGTAGCTGTCATTGGCATTTGTCGTTCGATGACTGAATCTTAATATTAATATAAGACTTATCTTTTTTAATTATCGAATATGAAGTGAACTTACAATCGAGATAGCGCAATTCCGTCTTATCATTGGCTATCAACTCGCCTTTTGTGTAAGCTTGATGTAGATCATGGTAGAAGATATCCATTGATGCAAAATCAAAGAATGCATGATGAAAATTGAATATGAGCAGATCGCCATCTTCAAGCATATCTTTGTGAGCACTCTTATTGTGATGAAGAATGTGACAACGAAGGATCATGCCTTGAGCAAGGTCGAAGTGATCAAAGTTGGTTCGTTCTCCATTTTGAATCTTGATTAACTCATCATTTGTTTTGAATGAGCTCTCGATGAATGCAAACAGACCATCATCAGTAGCATTGTTGACTTGTTGCAGCAGTATATCTTGTCTTGTATCATAGATGAGTGATGTGCGAAGTGATTGATGCTTGAGAACGACAAGATGTAGAGCGTGTCGTAAGCGACGGATTGACAGAGTAACTCCGTGTGGGACTCGATACATAAAAGGCATGTTGTGAATTGCCACTTGAAGGTGTTGACAATCGAAACGAACTTTTTCATCAAACCAGATACGAGTTTGCGCATAAGAAGCCGGTCCTAGAAAGGTAAACTATCTCATATAGGGTCATGTTCATGTGTAAACACCTGTCGTATTGGCATAGATCTGCCTAATTAAAAGATTCATCTTAAAAAAATCCAGATCGCGAACGTCTTGAGTTTATCATCTTGTCAAATTCTATGATAGGCAGTATTCTATGCCACCAGCATTGGTAGTATTTTGGCACAGCTTACTAGAGTACAAGCAGGTAAAGTCGGAAATGTTTCGAACTGATTCTAATTCTGTTGGGATTGACTTTTAACAATAAAAATCACGATTATTGAGTAGTACTATGTTTAGAGGTAGAAAAATATGTAATGAATCTATAAAACGGTTACTAAAGAGGTTAACTGAAAGTGTACTCTGTCGAGTTTACTGCCTTTGAAATAGAAGTTTTGAAAAATGGTGAGACTCACACCAGTGTACAACTGTAATAAGAGTTTTCTGCTATAGGAATATTTTCATCAATTCTCATTGTGTCAAATGACTAGATTTCTCGTTTGAAAACAAACAATCGAACGGATCATATCATAGTTGAGATCAAAAATGTTTAGTAAATAGCTAAATAAGAAGAAGATTCACAGACTAATTCAATGAATTTTCATATTTCTTCATCATCGACACTTAGTAATAGAATTCTCAAGAAGTAGCGTATCTTTTCATATCTACCTTTGAGTAAATGTTTTTAATGACTAATAATTGAAGGATCAGTTTGTCATTAATTGTATGTTGTCTACATGAATTGTTCGCAATAAAGAAACAAAAGCTTGAGTCAATACTCTTGAACATTGACGATGCAATGAAATTTTGTTTATTATTCTTATATGAGCATATAAAACATTAATCACTGTATGCCAATGTATGATCTGCATTAAATTAATGCTTTATCTTGACAAAGAGTTCGACTACTAAAGAAAATTCTATGATGAGAACTTTCATACTCTGATTTAATATTGGACAACATCTAGCTACCTTTAAAATAGTCTCAGATGCAAAATATCTATCAAACTGAAAGCCGAACCAAATAGTGAATAGAAAAATTTTACGTTTGAAGATTCATTTTGGCTACGTTGATATAATTTTAGGTCAGTTTGAAATAAGAAACCAGTACTTCTTAGCAGTGGTCGCTGCACTAAATTGTTGAACTTAAGCTTCATCAGGTTATAAGTACTTAGGGTGTACCAAAAGTTCTGATCACGGCGTTACTTAGCCATATAGTAAGCTTTAAAAATCTTTCTTTCTATATAAGCCTGATAGAGAAAAGAATGCTCTATTTTTCTATGCTATTTGATCATACTTCAACTAATATTATGATAATAAATTTTGGATAAGACTTTTTCCGTTATCGTCTGTGGTCTAGTAAGTTTTGGATTGCAGNTGACGTCTGATCAAATAGCATAGCAACATAGAGCACTCTTTTCTCTATTAGACTATATAGAAAGAAAGTTTTTTTTAAGCTTACTATATGGCTATGTAACGTCGTGATCAGAACTTTTGGTACACCCTAAGTAGATAATTCAATTGACGAAGTAATATTCTATTTTGATAATAGCAAATGAAAAGATGTGTCAATACTTTGATGTATGTAACTCATTAAAGTACAATTTATTTTCGAAACGTAAAGGTTGTTCATTCAAAATTTTACTCAATTCAAACAAGAAGAGGAATCTATTTAGTCAAAAATATATAGATAATCGAAAAGAAAAATGTTCTACTAGATTCTTGGAAGGCAAATAAGCATTCAAATATCATTACTCGCGGCAGACTCCACAAATTCGTCTAATAAAAACACTATGTTGGAGTAGTTCCAAAAACTTCTTATATTTTTCTCGAAATTGTAAAATGAAATAAAATGCAAAATACTCAATTCGGCACAGCAATAGATGTTCTATTCAACTATATGCAACTTATAGGTAGCTAAAGTTTTACAGTAAAGTGAAGAAAACAAAAAAAAATATTTTGCCCATCTATTGTCCACTCAGTTGAAAATTGACGCTTAAACTACATGTATTCCCACATGCTCAATCCGAATTAAGTGTCAGAATAATGTTTTCCAACTTTTGAAATTCCCCTTTTCTTACAAATTGAAAAGTTCCAATATCCACCCACAAACCGTCAAAATTATATACTGCTTATAATTATATGCAGACAGTGATTATTTTACTGAAGTTGCAAACATGATTGGTTACCTAGAATATGTTGAGTATCACATATTGAGTCAAATGTATTGTTTATATTTTCTTTTGATCTTTCTAACTTAAAGACAATCTGGAGACTTTCATACAACGTCTACAGCACAACATCGAATCTTAGCAGAATAGTTGTTTGATGAATATACATAGATTCTACTTGAAAAGAGTCACTAGAAGACGACTGCAATAGTTCTAAATTCTGTCACTTGCTTTCTTTGTTCGACTTACATTTAATTCTATAATATTTGTTTTTGACACAAAAACTGAGTTAGACACGAACCAGCAGAACTTCAAGATTGACTAATAAAACATACAAGTTATCCGACAGTTTGGATCACATCAAATCTTTCAAAAAAAAAAATTGTCGAAAAACAAACTATGCCAGTTCTTCACAAACCTCTAACACCAATGAGAACAGCTCTCACTCTGACCTTTTTTAGATTTTCATTAGATGTTTTAACAAAAAACATATTTTGCGACCTTACTGAAAGACATACCTGTATTAATAACTGTTGGTATTCTTTGAAAAACAATTTGTTCTTTTTCTTGAATTTCTTCCGGTAAAAGAAAAGATAGTTTCCCAATGGGTTTAATCGTTTGAGTACCAAGTGTCGAAGAATCGATTAAGAACAGCTGCGAGAGAAAGTACTGAAAGCGTCTGGCCATCAAGGACATTGCCGACTCGTCAATGAATTCTGTCGAACATTCGAAGATGAAAGAAGTTGTTTGTGCATGATGATTATGTATCATTCTTAAAGAAATGTCATTCTTGGAAGTACCATTGCCATGACTCAAATCACAACCAGGGTAGCCTCTCATAGCTGCGTCCTTCGTTTGAAACTCCATAGTAGTTTCATATGTTACCAATGATACAGCGGATTCATATACGAAAAAAAATGGTATCCTCTGTAGCGAAGACTTACTCATAACCTTGATAATCTCTTGGTACGGTAGTTGAGCATGTTCGAAAACGCCAATGCATAAATCACGAACTCGTATCATTAAATCAATGAAGGATTCGTTTGGATCCATTTTCGTTCGATAAGGTAGAATATTTACAAACATGCCGATCATTTGTTTCATCTCTGTGAGCGGACGATTGTCTACTACGCTAGTGATACACACATCATCGAAGCTGCCACTGCCAAGTTTATAGATAAAGGCAAAAAAGCATGCAAAGCCTAATTGAAACATCGAAATGTTGTTCAAAGTGGCACATTGCACTTGTGCATTGACTAGATCTGAACTCAGATCAAAGGAAATACAATAACCTTTACCAGAACGTGCTTTTGTCGTTTTTTTTACTCCTAGAAATGTTGAATAGTCTTGATTCCAATCGTACCCGTTCAAAAGTTTTGACCAGAAGCGTCGTGCTTGATTCATTTTCGAATCCTCACTAGGATCAATGAATTGAGCATGCTCGTATAAAGCATAATCAATATATTGTATAGTGGAACTGCGGTGTTCTAGTGAATCGTATGCTTGCTTAAATGCATTGAGAAATGGGCCCACCGAGCTTTGGTCAAACGCAATATGATGCATTATGAAGATAATTAGATCTCCTGTATGCAAATATTGTGTATCATGT